ATTTAATGTTTGCAAGCTAAGCAGTTAGAAATTATCTTTTACAGACAAGATCCTTGTGAAATTAAGATGTTATCGTTAGTAAATGGTTGTTTCTGTCTCTGTGAATACTATTGAGACATCATTCAGTTTATTGAAATGTAATGTTTGTGAGGGTGGTATATAATGTCCTGACTGAAGTAGAGAGAATTTATATCACAAACTTTCAGATTCCAGACATCTTCAGGTACCAAGATTAAACTCTACCAGCTCCTTGACGAGTTTCTTTAAATAGACTCAGTCAAATTAAATTGAATTTATTATTCATTAAAGATAAATTAACTTAAAGTTTGTACAAATTAAAGTTGTAGAATTGTTATCAACTTCAAGCTATGGGGAATTCATTCTAACAATTTCCAAGTCTTTGACTCTCCTTGTGAAGTAGTACAGTTCAGTACAAGAATAGAGACGAGTTGCCAATTGATAAAAATGCTCAGTGCTAGACCTGAATGAAATATTATGTATATCTATGCTGATATTGAATCAAGTATCATCAATGGTATCATGGTTCATGTTAGTCAAATGCTTTTTAAGTGGCAGGGAAATTTTACAAATTTAAACCGCCCTTTTTTCTTACTTTTACTTTACATTACTTCTGGCGTGTGTTTATGTTTACGAAACAAAATCTGTTGATTGGCCAGTTTGAATATTTTGAATATTTTGAATACATATATTATTTGGATCCCTTAAACAAGGTACACCTGCGAAAGTAAAACGCAGTAAAATATATTTTCAGAAGTTGTTAATAGACGATGGTTCAATTTAGTGCTTGTGTAAAAATCAAACTCAGCCATTGTATTTGTAAATATATTAAAGGTCATTACTGGCAAATATATCAAAATTAATAGCCCCAAGTCTCTTTTTATAATACAGTTCAAAATAATTCAACCAAATAGTCTAGCCTAGGAAGCATTAAATCTTTCTTCAATTCAAATTCATTAGAAAAGCCAAACAAAAACGCCTTTTCTCTCCAATTCTTATTTCTGATCTTCTAAGGTTCATTTATCATTTCAACTCAGATTGATATTTTTAATCTTTCTGTTAGAACTATCTCTAATTTCACCAAAATATAAGAAACAGGAAATTCCTTTTTTATATACAATATAGGTTTTGAAGTTGAAACTGTATAAGTCTGTTTTCAGACCTCCGTTTTTTTATCTCTGAATATAAATTGTTTATTAGATTCGTGAACTTTGGGGAAATGAAATAAAAGTTTCATTGAAGGTAATTTTTTAAGAAATGTGGCCAGGATGGGTGTCTGTTGATAACTTTATCATTGAATAAGTTAATTTGATATAAACATACGTAAACCTCGTGTACATGTTTCATATATACAGTAAATACTACATGTTTGTAGTGGTATATTACAAGATGAAAGGTGCCGTGCTAGTCTGACTCTCTCTGTTTTCTACCGATAAGGATGAATTCAATATTCACATTAAAAAATAATTTCTGTGGGAATTATTTAATCTGAATATGATATTTTCACAAAAGATTCAGTTAATAGAAATTTGTGAGAAGCTGCATTGTCTTGGTTTCTCTATTTTTTAAAAATTTCTCCATCATTTATACCCATTCAAGAGATAATTAAACAACTCAAAGCAGCTGTCAGCTGTAATTACCCAAGTCCTTAACAATCTTTCTCTTTAAATTTAAATCTCTTTAAATGCACAAATGTAAATGCTAATAGTGTAAGTTACTGTAACTGTAAGGGGATTCAACAGAGTATGGAGTTCGTACCTTTTTACTTGAATGATGATTGGGAATAGTGAGTAATAGAAATTTCAGGAACCACAAACATGAAATGAGAATGGTGCTAATCAGTGTTCCTGTAACAATAATAAAGGGCCTGAAATCCTTGTTGAATCTCTTTAATAAAAAAGTTTAGCATGTATCTAATAACTCTCTCAGGCCTGTTGGTGGTATGGTTATTTAGCATGTATCTAATAACTCGCTCAGGCCTGTTGGTGGTATGGTTATTCATGGAACTGATAATTTCAAACATATAGTTGGGTGGTCTCCCATGTGAATCGAGAATAAAGATGTCATATAATCTGGTTCAATTTACTTATCTTCTTGGTTTTTTCCTTCATTATTCTTTTGTATTTAGTTTTTGCATTTTCTCTTTTAAAGCATACACTGCAATTACCATTGTTAGTATTTGAAGTAAATAACAGAACTCACTGACGTTCAAAATAAACAGAAATGAATGGATTATTTATATATTCAGAGAAGTAATATGAGAATGGCCTTGTGTGTTCTTCGTTATTCTGCTCTTGGTAAAAATAGTTGTATAAGATGAACAAGTATTGGAAAGGGATACTAAGTTGAAAAACTCAGTCGCAAAGTGGCATCAGATCAGGTATTCTGAAGCATGCCCTGCCAGGCTAGTGACTGATGGTAGTAGAACCATTAACCATTATGTTTATTAGGGACACTGATATCATCAATAAGCACCATTCCAATTTTCAATCAGACATCTGCGGTTCCTGCAATTCCACTAAAAATAAGCATTTTATGACGTCACTATGGCAGACACCCTTGGATATTATTTGCTTCTAATTTGAGAAAATCTCTATAAAATAATTGATATGTGGAAGCATGTTATCATTTCTTAACTGACTGGACAACTGGCCTGATCCAATAACATGCTCTTAGACTTTGAGTAATTCCTATCCAATTTGACAAGACATTTCCTCTGTTTATGTGACTCTGGTTCAATATTGCTGAGTTTGTTTAATTAAACCATAGCACTAGATTCTCTTGGCATCTATTTGAAGATGTTTAACTAAATAAGACCAGTAGATTAGATATTGTGATAATTTCCATTAGAATTTCCAATTACAGGAAATATCAGCTAACCAATCAATCATGTCCAACAATGAACAATCTATCAAATATATCAAATTATCCACCCATTTTAAACATTTTCTCACCAATGTACTAGTGTCATTCCTGACAAGATCTGATCATTTTTCAAACATTTTTTCTCTAGCACTTCTTGAAATCTTATATAGAATTACTCCACTGTCTTATTTCCTCATAAGTTCCTTAGTCTTATTACTGACTAGGTTATTCTTCTCATTCTTCTCTAGCAATTTGATCCTTACAAAATCTTAGATAGAGTTTATCAAATGAATTAGACCCTGCACCCTAGTTACAAACAAAAGTCTAGGCTTATTTTCCCCATTTCAATTTTAAGGCTACCAATCGATTTTGAGGTATGACTGAAACAGACAAGAGCTCTATTTGTGGTGAGATATTTTTCTAGGTATTCTTATCGCTTTTCAAATCTAATGTGACTATTATCTAGTTTTTAATTCTCCTACATCTTCCTTAGTTCCGTAAAATTCTACTTAAGCTCCAAGAGATTTAGTTTTTGATGAAATTTGTTTAGGTAGTTTGGAAATGTTAAGTGCTCAAATTAATGAATACTATACATCAAATTCTAGAAAAATATCTCCTTTACCTAATCTAAATGTTTTACTAGAAGTATCTTGCTGTTAATTTTTAGAAAACGAAACAGTTTTAAAGGTTTACATCAGAAGGCCTATGATAAAACTGGGACCTGTTTCATAAACTTAATTTAGTGTGATTTAAGTATACTAGTAATCCGATTGGCTAATAGCTAAAATCAATTATAAGTTCAGCTTTATATTTCTTAAAATTTTTGTTGAAGTTTAGTAAAAGATGGGTTTGTTTATTTTCATTTTAAATTAAAAGCACAGGTTTTTCACCCAATCTCCAGATTGTTCAAGGCAAATCTCCAGATATTTTTTTCCTGACCTGTACACATGAATGCATTTATGAAAATGAAAATGCTAATAGTTATATCAGTAGAAAGTACAGGTGTTATAATGATATAGAAAAATACTAGTTTATCTCACATGTCCATGATTAATTCCTTATTAGCTAAATTAGTAGAGAATTACCACCAGAATTCCAATGAGTGACCGATCAAGAAAGGTCAAAAATAATTTTTTTGTTTATCCAGACAGTACATTCATGGATATTTATGATTGGTTAAAACTCTAGATTATATGTTTTGTCCTATAATTAGAATTAATGAAACAGATTTGTACATACTGTCTAATATATTATGGAACTCCATCTTTTCTGCAATAAAACTTAAGAAATAAATTCATTTTGGTTTCCTTATAAAAATTTTTTTTTAAATTTCTATTTAAAAATTTAAAAAAAAAAAATTATTTGAAATATTTAATGCTGAAGAATGAAAGATTAGACAATATAAAAAGATCTAACACTTTTATCATGCAAGGTAGAATACAACTATATAAAAGGGAGATTAAAGAGATTTGTTGTTTTTTTTCAACATTCCCACAAGTTCTTTTGTTATATTTCCTGACAAAAGAAATATCTTCATGCATCATCACCATAATTATTCCAAAACATTAAATGATCATTGTGGTGACAATGTGTTTTTCTGAATACATTGGTCAAGAAGTGCCCGCCTCCTCCCCTTTCTAGTCCATCTATTTATTTACTCAGATGGACTTTAATACAAAAGCATGACATCAACAAACGTTGACAAAAAATAATATGACATAAGCTTTAAGATTGTCACGATGGATTAAATCAATGGTGCTAATAAATGGCTATAATTCTGAGGTTGTTTTTGTTAGAAATATTGTTATAAATTATTGTAAACATTCACTACAGTACTATAATGATTCTGATTGGTTGCACTTGTTTTAAGAATCCAATCGGATTTCAAGAAGTAAACATCGTACTAGAATCTTAAAGGGACAGATGTGCCATTTTGGGGCGTTGAGTTTAGTCTTGAATATATGTCCTCAGAAGTACTAGAAATGTACGAAAATCACATAATTCCTTTAAAAATAATTCAAACTAGGAATTTTACTCACTATTTCTATATATCACAGATTATCTTAAATTGACGAGCCGTCCTTTTAAAATTGAAACACATATAATTCTGGATAGACATGGAGTTACAAGTACAAATTTTGTTGGTGAGCTGTTGACACTATTACTGATTAGCTCAGCTAAAAACTTCCAGTTTCTGAAACTAAAGTATGATTGGTCAAAAAAATGGCCTACCTGTCCCTTAAATATATGAACTTTCTGACATCCACCCATTCTTTCAAATCTTATTCAGAGGCAATATTACATCAGTGAATTATCAAGCCTACTCTCATATTACGAAAACAAAATTATCTTGGTTATTACCAACTTAACACTCTCAATTTCTTAAACTACACAGTTTGAGGCAAATGTTGATTTATTTGAAAAACTACTTTTTTTTTTATAAATAAATGATCAATCAGGGCCATACTTCCAGAAGCAAACTTTAAACTTAGAAACACACGATATACTTTTTCTAGTCACCTACTACCCTTAAAATATTTTCTTATAAATGATTAAGATTGATTGAGTCTAGTTCTATTTCAATCCATACAATTCCGTTCATCTTAAATCTCGTCAAAAAATGGCAAAATCAGGAGTAAAAGTTGTATAGTAGTGGATTCCTCCAAAGAGAAATACCATCAGGTGTTTCTAAAAGAGTGAGCATAACTATGTAAAATCAATGTCATTCTCAAGGTATCTTATAGGATGTAAATTAGCTACAGAAATAACATTTGAGACCATGGTTTTATGGCCAATGACAACTCTTGACTATTTTACTGTATTTAGTTTACTATGAAATGGTTGTAGTCATAAAAAACATATCACTAACTTATTGATTGATATGATATTTGATACTAACTATAACAATCAAATTTTGACAAAAAAATGATATGCTCTTCCACAGTAGTGATTACTGAGGTGGTTCAAAAGCAAAGCAGGGTATTCTAATCTTCTCTGGCAATCATGGATGCCAATCTTTGTCTAGGTTTGTCATAAAGGTTTCTCATAATATATCTAATGATATATTTTGTTTGATTGATACAAGAACTGTAGAAGGGACAGTTCAGTGTTAATATTTGGTAAATTATGTTCTTTTTCTTCTTTTTCAGGCTGAAATTGATAAATTGAAACTTCAACATGCAAGTCAGCTGACAGAAGCAGATGTAACATCAAAGGGGAAACTTGATGCTTTGAAGACAGAATTGGATGCTAAATGGGCAGAAACACTCAAGTAAGATTAAACAAAGTTATAGATGGTTATGCCTCAGAATATCCATTGATGTTGGAAATTTAAACTGGCCTCGTATGAGACGTTTTCGCAATGTTAGAATGGAACTAAATGATTGAGCTCTAGACTGGAGTGTTTCCATGTTAGCCCTGATATCTTCATCAAAGGGAAACCAAGGTTGAAAAACCAAAGATATCATCATGACCTTTTCTACTATCAAACCGAAACTATCAGATGAGGAAGAAAAGGTCTAATAGTTTAGATCAACTAGGTGCCATACATCTGGGACCAAAGAATTAGTTTCATTATATCGTGAAGTTTTGTAATACATAAACCAAATTATTTTGTCAAGAAAAAAATAACGAAAGCTTGCATGATGTTTTATTCTAGAAATGAAACCAATAAATTACGGAAGCAGATAGCAGAGCAATTAGAGAGCGAGAAACACTCAGCTGTTTTACAGTTAACTTTACAACATGAGAAACAAGTGGCAGAATTGACATCTGAATGGGAGGGCAAGGTCCATGCCTTGACAATACAGGTAGAGTTTGTTACAATGTCAATCAATTAAGAATCTCTGTCTTATTACCTTGACATCATTAGGCACTAGGTCTTGTATAAGTGAAGTTGGTTAATGCAGCCATTTGATTGGATTGTATCCTAGCTAATACAGCCAATCAGAGCTTTTGACAGAAAGACTCAAACAATATGATTGTGCTTGTAACTTCGCCATTTCCATAATGGCTAAATATTTAACTTTAGGAAGGGAGATAAACAATATTTTCTGTCTAGTGATGTCAAGTTAGAGAACAGATTTCTCTATTCATATGGAACACAGAAGGGTATTAAACTCCATTTTATGTGCCCAATCAAGATTTAAACCTTCATTTCATTAGTCCATTAATATTATAGTAGGGTGTAAAACTCCTTTTTCATCTATTGATTGAATAAAGAGTGGCATCAGATCAGAACAGTCATTTATATATTATTCATATGTCCTTTCAGATCACAGATTTACAGCGAAGTGCCAATAAAAACAGTTCGAAGTCCTCAGAGGAGCTGGAGAGACTGCGCCTACAGATGTCAGAATTAGAAAAGAAGTTACAGAAGGAAATGTCTGAAGCTGAAGAAGACTATGCCAGGAAGATCAGTGTTATGGAAGCAGCCCAAGAGAATCAACTCAAGTCACTGATAGAGAGGAAAGATCTGGAACTATCAGTGAGTTAAACATTTACCAAATAATCTGTGCGTGATGAATATCACTTCAGAATAGAGTGAATTCTATTTAAATATTTCCCTAATTCTAACTCTTTATATTTTACAAACACATCTCGCGCTGTGAACATATAATGTTGGCATCTGTGTCCGTTTTTCCATTTATTTTTTCCTCTTACACTCCCAAGAATCTACAGTTTTTAAGCAATTAACATTTACTTGGTATGTGGGCCTATCAGCAACGAATAAAGGCTAGATGGAAATAGGGAAAGGAATTCAAAACATTTTAATATGGGGTTAACCTCTGTAATTTCAAATCATGAAAATGTAATAACTAATTTATTCATATACAAATTTTCTAAAACTTTATGAAAATTTCTCATGTTTATAACTGCATCGTGACGTGTACAGTGTTTGTATTTTCATTATCTTTCTCAATTTCAATTCCACAAATTCCATTAAGATGATGGTGACAAATTATATTAATGTCTGTTATCGCTTAGAAATTTTAAATTGTTACAAATTGTGTATATATTAAGCAGATTGAATATTCAAATTAACGATAAGTGAGTCCATATGAATAATTATAGTAATCAAAAATTTAACATAAACCTTTATATCTGTGGTGTCTCAATATAAAATATACGGTTTTGTCTTGTCTTTGCAAGAGTGCAGAAATCTCTGCAAAACACATCTACTCTTTATCAGTGCTTCTAAACCATTATGATCCACTTCCCCTCATGAGGATAAATTTTTCCACCATTCACCCCTAAAACTGTACAACATCAAATACCTAAAAACATGACTGAAACATACTAGATAGGCACTGTTTCATATAATAGAGATCTCAAGGCTCTTCTGTCAGAATCTTATGCTTGATTTAGTTGAACAAGGGTCTTACATTTGGAAGTGGCTTGCTTATTTTCAGATGCAAATCTCCATTGCCAAATTCCCTCCTTTGAGTATTAATTTCCCCCGAACACCCTCTCATTCAAAATTTCACCCCGAAGAGTTTGAATTCAGCCGCGGAGGATCCTGGTAGTGAAGCACTGCTCTATTTAACGTCATGAAAATGCCTTTAAGGAAGTCCTTACACCTGCCTTCTTTCATTTCCTTCTTGAAGAAACCAAGACTGTGGCTTGTTTGTTTCATTGTCTACCTCATTTATTTTCTGGACTTGATATTTAGAGTTGAAAGTACATAAGTTTTTTTTTTTCTGATGATGACGGCAACATGACATGTCTGAGTAAAGTCACGGGAGAATTTTTAAATCCTATTGACCAAGAACTGTTGTATTTATGTTTGGAAATTAACAAACTTTGTACATTTCTTTAAAGTAATGCTAACTGCAATGATGTGATTAAATAAATTCTTTGTGAACTTGACAAAAACTCAATCCGTGCTGATTGATTTTATCTGGTCTATTTTCTAATTATTTGGAACTATTTGGAAAGAGTAATGATAAACGATGGAAACTTTAAAATAAAATTTGAAATGAAATATAAGAGTTTGGCAGTACATTGGTAACAGCTAATGAACTTTTCATAATGAGGTGTATCAATTATAAGTGAGTAAGTATTTCATAATGGAAAATGGTATCAGGTGTCTAAAGAGTAACCTAAGCAGCATACACTGTCTGGTTCAATACTTGCAATTACATAAAAACATGTTGGTTTAATGCCCATATTTCAAAAATAAATGTCTTATATTAAAACACAAACTAAATTTAGTTTTTCAAAGTTTTGCTCACTGACCAATGTTCATGTTGCTTTTATAACTGTCTAAATGTTTTTCCAAGGTTTTGTTTGATATTTGAAATTTCTGGCCTATTGTCCTTTAAGTAAACAGGCTAAGCATGATTTCATACTTGTCTGGCTCTCTCTGTCTGTCTGACCATTTCATCATAACTTGCGTGAGCTTAGATTAAATTGACGTCTTGAGAGTCCAAAAGGAGATCATGGATTCACATCTGAGTAGAATTTATTTCTATAAACCTACTTATTATGATATCTTTTCTCTCAAAGTATGGCCACATGAAACATTTGTCTTCAATTATTTTAAATTTATTTAAATGACAATATTTAAAAGGAATATGAAAAATTAAAAACTTTTCTTAATTGGTTGACCATTCTAATTTTTGTACACAATTCACCTATCATCAGTAAAGCTAATTGGAGGGGCGCTAACATAACAAGTAACGTAGGTCTCTAGCTAGTACCTCGCACATGTCAAAATCCCTGATAGATAGAAATCACCCAAAGGAAGACTGATACTTCCTTGTCAAAATTTACTTCCACTCGCAGGGACAGGTTTGCCATCTGTTTGACCAACCATACCTTATTCTCAGAAATGGGAATTTTTTTAGCAGAGCCAATCAGTAATAGTGATCACGGAGAGCCAATCAGTAATAGTGATCACGGAGAGCCAATCAGTAATAGTGATCACGGAGAGCCAATCAGTAATAGTGATCACGGAGAGCCAATCAGTAATAGTGATCACGGAGAGCCAATCAGTAATAGTGATCACGGAGAGCCAATCAGTAATAGTGATCACGGAGAGCCAATCAGTAATAGTGATCACGGCTCACCTTCAAAGTTTGAGCTCTTCTCACATATTTTGTGACATTTTTGCCAAAGTACAGAATAATGAAGAAACCATTGTTCCATTAAAATGAAGAAGTGTAAAACTAATTGATGATATATTTTATTATATTAGATATATTGTTTAGTTTAGTATGTAATACAGTTGTTAAAAGCATTGAAAACCTTAATATCTTTCTTCAATAACAACATATTCTGTGAATTCATGGGGAAATGTAAGAGATGTCACAAAATGTTTTCAATTAATGTTTGTACAGTTAGGTTTATTAAGCCTTGTAGTATTCTGGTCACGACATCTGTCACAGTTTATAATGCAGTGGATCATTATCAAACAAGTAGAATGCTGAAAAAAGGTTATAAATTAAATAATGGTTCCATTATAATAAGTAATGTAACAGGCAGTATTAGCCTTGAAGTACATGTTAACAGTGCTGGAGCATCAGAGACTCAATATTTCTAGTACATGTTAACAGTGCTGGAGCATCAGAGACTCAATATTTCTAGTACATGTTAACAGTGCTGGAGCATCAGAGACTCAATATTTCTAGTACATGTTAACAGTGCTGGAGCATCAGAGACACTGAGAGAATGTTTATGACTCAGTATTTCTTTAAAGCGATAGTTTAATGCTAGTTTGATGCTGTATATTATATAAAATGATGTGGATGATCTTCAGACAAACTGATCTATTTCTTCTGAAGACCGCACAGCGTGAAACTCTTGAGTAACAACATGTTTCAGGTCCAATTTAATATTTCTTTAAAGATCTACTATAGATGTATTGAGCACTATTTTAACAATGGTAATGTTTTGTTATTATGAAATAAATTATACTTGATAGCTAAAATCTATGGCACCTCTTCTTGCTTTAATAATGTCTGCAGTCAAGATAGTTTGATTTGATTGCAATGATTCAGTTTTAGATTGCAATGTTATCTATATGTAGATTCTTATTGTAAAAAATCTTGACAAAGATAAAATTCAGATTTTAAGAAATATAAAATTATCTGATTGGATGATAGAACTAAATTAAGAATTGATTTTTTGATTGACTAAAATTATTTTCAGTTATGTGATTGAGAACGAGGCCTCTGAGGCGCGTTTCTCAAAAAATCTTATGAAAGGAAATTTAAAACGTGGAACATTATGTGGGTAAAAATTATCATTAAGATTTTTTGTGTACCCTAAGTAAGATGGATAAAAGGATTATATTGTCTCTGTAATGATAATGGTATTGATATTAATTTTTAATTTTAAACATATTTTCTATTATGTGCTATGTGGATTTTATTGTATGTTTCCACAATTCATATGTCATCCTATTTCACCTAATGATGACAATGTACACTATAAAAACATGTGTACGAACATTCCAAGTAATGTGCCATGATTTTGTGTGAGGTCAGATGAAGATTTTGACACCAAATCAACATGACTTCAGTAAATACTAGAAATCAAACAATATAAAAACACTATTAGAACAGAATGTTTAGTTCTGGAAAGAAAATTGAATTTGATCATTGAGTTTGACCTTTCTATGTCCACAAAGATCATATTTCTCTCAAATCTGCTTTTTATTATTGTTAAAACATTTTATTGTCATTTTGTTTGACTTACCTCCCCTTGTGAAACATGGTGAAAGCTTTTAGTGACAGGAAACATCATGATATCTGATTTTAGTTCAAACATTTCTGCTGTAGGCCACACCACCCAGACACACATCATTATAACATAATGATATTAGAAAAATTACTGGCTGGGTGTGTACCTCTTGCTAGTATATCTTACTCAAATGTTTCTCTTGTGTCATTTTATATATAGCTTTGACATCCCTGAATCAAATCAAATATATATGGACAAAATTTTGAGATATTCTTTATTTTCGATCTTTAAATAAATTGTCACTGTTAAAATATTGTTCAATACATCAATTGTAGAGCGATATAGAAATACCACTGTTAAAATAGAGCTCAATACATCAATTGTAGAGCAATATAGAAATACCACTGTTAAAATAGTGCTCACTACATTATTTGTAGAGTGACATAGAAATACCACTGTTAAAATAGTGCTCACTACATCAATTGTAGAGAGATATAGAAATACCATTGTTAAAATAGTGCTCAATACATCAATTGTAGAGTGATATAGAAATACCACTGTTATAATAGTGCTCACTACATTAATTGTAGAGTGATATAGACATACCACTGTTAAAATAGTGCTCAATACATCAATTGTAGAGTGATATATAAATACCACTGTTAAAATAGTGTTCAATACATCAATTGTAGAGCGAAATAGAAATACCACTGTTAAAATAGTGTTCAATACATTAATTGTAGAGCGAAAAGAAAATATTATGATAACTTGTGATTATAAATGTAGGATCACAACAGAATTGGACAGTCTACATATTTATGATAATGATTCATGCTGTAACTTTGACTAAAATCAAATAACAATGTATTAAGCAACCATTTTCAGTAATTTTAAGAATTCTCCATACAGCTTGCTTACTACAAGTTTCACTGTAGCTAAATGTTTTAGAATTATTTCAACTACACCAAAATAAAAGATAATGACCAGAACTCTACAAGGGAAACAACTCTTGATATTTTGCAGGAGGTTGAAAAGAAAATTAAAAACAAGCATGTTGAAGATTTACAGATACAGTTGACAGCACATCGGGCTGCTGTTCAGAATATACAGGAACAGGCTGATAAATTACGTCATGACAGGGAGACAACTCTGATTAAACAACATCAACAAGAGCTGGGTAAGCATTTAGGCCTATATTAGATTGTGCTCTACCAGTTCTGGAAACTTAGTTTCAGCTGTCCATTGCACTTTTTTACTATGAAAAAATGAAATAACTAGCTAGTCAAAATAAAGACAATTTTGACTGGGGTTTACTACAATAGTCGGCAGACTGAGTTATCTATCTTTATTTTATTATAAGGGTACATACATAGTGTGTCTAATGCATTTTAAAAGTGGGGAAACTAAGCCACCTTTAACCTAAATGACCCTCTGCCTCTGTTGTGATATTGTTAATTTTTATATGAAGGGAAATAACTATACATGAGATCTAAACTTCACACACAGACTAGATCAGACCACAGTTAATTTTTACTTTTTATGCAATGGTTAATTAAATTAATAACCTACTTTATTTGTAAAAATATTTAAGATAAATTACGATTAGAGTTATCTGAGAAACTAGAGAAAGATTTTGAAGATGTTAAACGTAAACATGAGGCTGAGATTCGAGCCGCCAGAATCGAGTTAGAACGAGCCATAGAAATTTCTAAACAAAAGGTAAGTACACTATAATGACACGCCTATGTTTTATTTATCAACTATACCAAACCATGCTAACTAATTGTCTTAATAAGGCATATTGATTCAAGGTTTAGCTGTTTGCGATATTGTATGCAGTGCTAAAGAAAAGTACTCACACACAATAAAGTTACAACAAAGTATGAATTAGCAACAATAATACAACAGTGTAGCTTGGTGTAATGGTAATCATATGTTGAATCAATTAGTGACACAGCTATATAAGAATTACCTTAAAATAAGTATAAGAGTTTTATTATTGGCTGAAAAGCATGTATCATATCTACATTGACAACATGCAAAAGGCTTTATTATTCATTTTTTTAACTCCCAATACTGCAACATTATACAACCTTTTAATTTCAGGACCGAGATAACCATTCACGTATTGAAGAGTTACAAATGGAGATTACAAAACGAGAACGAACTATAATGAATCTGGAAGAAGAAACAAGAAACCTGAAGCGAGCCATCGAAGAACTGAAACGAGACATTAAGGAACGCGACAAGCAAATGAAACAAGTTCAGAATGAGGCTAAGAAACAAATCAAGTAGGTTTTTATTGCAATTTCATTAAAACTAAGCACCTTACCTTTCTATCACAAAAACCCATCATATCCTTTTAGCCATTTCTATTATTACAAAAACCACAAACATCTGATTGAAAATTTGTATGGAGCAATTAGATGCACTTTTATTTCGTAAAAAATATCACCTCAATACACATTGGTCTTAAATCTTTTCCCCTGAGAAATATAATAAATTTAAACTGTTTATTTTAGACAACTAGAAGATGAATTCCGAGTAGAGTATGAGAGAAATGTAGATAATCTACAGGCTGATCATCTACAACAGATCAACGAAATGGTGGGAGATTTTAATACGGCTCAGGAATTATTGAAAGATAAAATATCATCTATACAAATACAGTAAGTCTACTTCCAGAACTAGTTCTTCTAACAAAGTACCTAAACACAAAAATAAATGGAGATCTACACAAAGTAGCTGTAATTTCTACTGTTTTGACTTTGTGCATTAGACGCAATTTATAACATATAATTGTGTATTGTCTCTATGTTGGTCATAGCTGAAGTTCTTGCTGATATTTATCTGGTATTTGTTGTTCAGATTAGATTCAGAAATGGAAAGTGGGTTAAAAGAAAGGACTATAATTTTCTGATTATGACAGACAGCAAGGTTTATACAGTGAAGCCCTCTTTACCCTGTTGCCAATAATCTGAAAACCTCAACATCTGCACTCTTACTAGAAACAGAATGTGTATTATGTGATTATATTTTTTTAACAAACTAAATTGATTTTATTTTGATAGTAACTATATTATTTAAAATGTCTCCTTATTCATACATAATGATGTATTTTTGTGTACAATAGGCATTTCCTTAAAATATTTTATAAAGCGTATTGTATTGTATTTTGTTGTCTTTAATTAGAATCAAGTCTGTTTTTGATAAAATGTCCCAAATTCTATAATTTTTTTTTATCAGGTTAGAAGAAGCAGAAGACAGATATAGAAATCGTGAATCCAGACCAGAAGATTTAGAGTTAATAATGCAACTACGTGATGCCATACAGGAACGCGAGCTAAGGGTTAAAGAATTAATTGTAAGATTTTATTTATTTCATGTTTCGCTTGCAAAATTTTCATCTTAAAAATTCCAGACAAGGGTTGGCAAAAGCTTCCATCTGAGGTTAAAATTTAATTATCAAATAGTTATCACCTGTATTTATCTTCTATTTTGACTTATTTGGTCATCGGTAGGTTTTATTTATTGATTAACGTATATCTTATTGATCAGTATTGTAATATTATTTCTTCATTTACCAGATATACAAAATTGTTACTTTTTTTTTACCTATTATGAGAATATAAGGTCAATATTTTTTATTCACTTTGCCCATTTTAGGATGAAAAGAGATTTTTCCAGTTAGAATTGGTGAACAGGGAAACCAACTTTAATAAAATATTCAACACAACACCCAATATAGGGGTCATGAATCCTTTAAACCCAGTCAAGGTAAGGTATTAACTTACTGAGTTAATATATTATTCTACCAAATCCTGGTGAAAAATATGAACCTATTTCCAATTGTTGGAATGATTATAAATATTTTGCATGTTAACATTGTTTCTTCAATTTCTTCATGTTTTTATTCATTTCAAATATAAAAGCAGGACATAAAATTTGATTTACTTTCTCTCTTCATTTCATACCCTTGACAGTTGGAAAGAACAGGCTAACGTCGCTGTCCTGGCAAAATGTCTCTCATTGTACCCTGCATGGTGTTGCCCGTCTTCATTAGCCCACATGGTGCAGAAAAGAAGACCATATCATTTCAATCATTTCATTTTTTTTAAACGTAACTGTCAGAGAAAACTTCAGTATTGTTTTTTTTATTTCAGCCAAAGAATAAGAAGAATGAGAAACCATTGAAACATTCGAGTGCTCCAGCTTTATCACAGAGACTAGACCCTATACCTAATTCACCATTACATGATGGAAACCTTAACCCTTCTCGACCACTTCCACCCTTCAATAAAAAATTCATTAAATAATACTAACCTGTTAACCCTTCTTGTTCCAATCGTCAAAAAGTTTTAATTTTCTGATACCACTTTCCAATTTTAACCGTTTTGTTAGTGAAATAACAAGTTTTATTAACTATTTTCCTATTCTTTTTCTCAAAAGTGTTAACCCTTTTCCTCCCGTTTGTCAATAAGATAGTGACATAATTTTTGATATTTTTAACTTTGAAACGGGACCTAATGCTGTTGGGCTGGTTCCCATCGAGATGTGAATAAAATTCATATTTAAATTGATACAGTCATTTGATTGGCTTGAATAATAATCAGTTTAACTGATTGACCAATCAGATAACTGGAAGATATTTTAAAGGAATTTTACCTCTTAGAATGAACATAAAATTTAAATTTTCGAACTTGGTCAATTAAGAGTATATATTCAGCTGTCAGCTGTATATTATATAATAAACTGTGCTGTGTGTGATATTTCTTTATAACCATATTGTTTTATATTTTAATTAAGTTATAAAATTGTACAGCTTCTGTTTAAATTATAGCATTATTCCTTACAGCATTATTTTATTTTATTATGATTTTTAATGAGCTATATCATCAGCATTGTGGGTATTCTAAATATCCAGTAGAGCTTCTTGGATATTACTGTGTTTTATGCTTTGATTTTAAAGAGGTTTTTAACAATAATCCAGAACACCTGTAAGCAATCTGTTTAATTTGAACCAGATTTTTACCAAACCTTTCTAAAGGCTCTTTAAAGAGACAGGTTAGCTATTTTTGGGGAGTTGATCTGGGTAAATAGTCTTCAGAAGTACTAGAAATGTACAAAAAATTGCTTAATTCTTTCAAAAATATATCAAACTAAGGAATTCCACTTTCTATTTCCATATGTCTTTTCTATAATATAGAAATATATATATAATATGGTAGATAATTCTAGAAAGCTAAAATTTCAACTGTGAGCTGTGAACACTGATTAGCTTAGTTAAAAAATTCCCATTTCTGTGATTAAAGTATAATTGGTCAAACGAATTGCGAGCCTGTTTCTTTGATGCTAAATTGCCAGGAAGACTTAACGAGATAATGCTCCAGTATAGGAACTGTTAGAGTGGCCCTATGAAGCAGGGCTTGACTACCATTCTAGAATACTTATGTCGCATTGTGACTGGTCAGCTTCTCAGCATCTTCCAAGGAGAATCTCCAAATATTGTTTTCTTGATATACAATCTATGTATATTAATAAGGTTGTGAATTGTCCGTCCAGCATTCCATTCTCACTGATAAATTAATAATAGTATTTTGTTTATTAGTGATATATTATGTAGTTTGTTATTTATTTATTAAAATATACTGTCAATTTTCACAATCTTCTCTGTTTTATTGGCTGGAAAATGCCTAAGATAGCAAAAGTATATGGTCGGGTGCATAGTCTTGCACACTTACTGACTTTAATGTGTATCGTTGTGAATATTAAACACAAGTTTGCATAATGCGCAGATCAACGAGTACATAGGTACTTTGTTGACCTGTGTGCTGGTTAAACCCTAGCCTCAGTTGGTTAGCGAGCAAGCTTATAACTCACGCCTCCAGACTCTGATTTAAAAGGAAAAATCAAAGGTATGGCGTCTATTTTCAATAAACACACCGCATTTGCTTTGTGGTTCAATAGTATGAACCCTTTATTTTAAATTTAAACACAGTTCACATCAACCTTGGTGAAAACGAGCGTTTTTGCTTCATCATCACCTCCATAATCATGAAATTCCGTTTGTTTCGAGTCAAACAGGGCACATCGGGCATAATAAATATACCATTCGGCAGATGCATATTTTTTCTTCTGAACACAAAATTCTTTGCACTTCTCAAGTGTCATATCTGGATTTTTTTCCAAAAGAATAACTGGAGAACCAAACAGTCGACATACTCGATTGATTACCGACCAAGCTGTACAGTTTATGGTGTTGTTATATTTTTCCTCACACTCTAGTTTATTTTCAGCGCCTGTATGCATCGTCTTAATATTTACTGAATAGCCCAGTTGTGTTTCTTCCTTTTGAACTTGCAGGGTACTGAAAAATATAATGATATCGGTTAGGGTGCGTCACTGATGTATAAATCAATAAATAGCTATGATATCACCTATTGGTTTAACAATATAGGTAAATGATCGTCACTACAACTTAACACTAAATTGTCCCTCAGGGTATATAATTTGTCCTTCCATCCCCAAACAATCAAGTCCTCGTTGATGAGAGAGAGAGGGGTTATTGAACAGGGTTCAGGTCTTTCTTATTTTAAAATCAACACCATCGGTAAAATTCTAGAAAGAAAGACACAGTAGCTACTGTACCTGGTGGAGGTCCGCAACATAGACCATTTTCCTGTAATTCAGATCCTACTGGACACGAACAGTTATAACTGCCAGGTTGATTTTGACACTTATCTTCACACAATCCATTATTGGTTGCACATTCATCTATATCTGAAGAAAACAGCAGATTGAGAACCAGAGCGGGGCCCGAGAGACCTTGCCCCTTTCGCCTTTTCCAACTTTGAGACTATGGAAGGCGGAGTGGCTTTTTATTCAATGTTCTTCATTGCTATTTCTTAATTTCTAATTCTAAATTCTTATCTCTTAATTTGCACGCTAACTTCAACATTTGTCATTGAAAATTTACATTTTTCATACAAAATAAAAACAAAAAAAAATGTATACCGAAAATAATCACATAAGAACCGGAAATTCTTCATGGGATTTATCAAATTTACCTGTCTTGAAGAACTTCGTAGGACTCGTATGAACTTCAGTCCTGAAAATTAACAATTGCAGTCGTAGCAAGGGATCCACGTCTTTAAAGGGAAGATGGACAGCTCGGTAAGGAAATTGCTAATGGATTGACTCAAACAGGATACTGCCTCCTGACTTTACCTGTACAGGTTGGTTTTAAAAACCAGTTTCCATTTGTACAAATGGTTCGAACTTCATCCTGGTATCCTTCGGGACATTTGTACCGTTTATTGTCCTCACAGCTAACTCTCGACAACCACTCAAAGTTTAATGGTATCTTATAGTTATCGCAACCTATAAATAATCGAGTCATTTTATCAACGACGGCAGTAAACTTATTGCCAAGTTTCAACAATATATGATTTGAACTGCGGCTTTAGAAAATGATGACGAGCCCCCTATGTCTGGAGCTATTGACAATTCTGAAGCCACAACTCGGCCCCTCCATCTAATGATTACCAGAAATGCCACTGTCATGAGCAACAGGTGTGCTGACGGACAGGGTCGATAATACATCCACTTCGTCTGCGATGGATGAATGAAAACTAAAGGTACCCATGCTACCGAGACAAGATTATTGATATTTGTCGCCGATAGTTTTATCGTCTGCAAGACAGACCGCCATGTCATCACCCAATCAGATTCATTTTCCTTTCAATTGCATGCTTCGCACGTGATTATCGAAAAGATGGAAAACGACCGACTGGAGATTATTGTCTCTTCGTGTGCCCATGCCAGTCGTAAAAAAAGTGTAATAAATGAAAACTAGTAAGTGTGGATTAGTGTTTAATCATTTAAATCATATTGTGATGTTTGAAGTGTCACTGAAATATAACTCATTTTCTTTATGCGTTTTATCACTTAAAAAAAAAGATTTACAAGATGTTTTCAGGGGCCTTATTCACAAAAACGTAACTAATAATGATGTAAGTGTTCCAGTCACTTGAATGAAAATCTTTTTCAAAGAGTGTTTTATTATCCAATCAGATTACCATAGAATCTTAATTTTATCTTAGTTAAATTTTCGAGAATAGTATCAAATATTGACACCATCTCTATTTGTGAGGTTCTATGGCGCAGTCGGGTATAGCCTTTCTTCTTTACATGAACTCATTTGCTTTGTAACGTCGAGCAAATGGCGGCTGCGGGGTTCCGATCTCGATCGGCGTGTGATTTTGAATAAGTCATATTCACTCAGTATTCCAGTGTAAATTGGTACGGATAATCCCAAGAGGTTTGGCCATGGACCAGCTGGTATAGAAAGGATCTTTACTTTACGTTTTGTTATAAAACACCGTTAGACATAAAAAAAAGGACCTGTTCGACATAGATCTGTCATCTTCAGAGCTAGTTTACGAATGTCGATGTTCAACCTGATTTTTATCCAAGCAGGAAATCTAAGTTCGCAATGTGCTGGTGAATACCTCTTTCTGTCTTTTCAAAACACGTTTCAGAATTTTCCTAAATTTCTTACTGATGACACAGAATAGCAGGAAGTTGATACTAGTGTTAAAATTCTTCAGAAGGTTATTTATATCTGATAACCTGTGGAACATAGGATATCGTAATGTTTCAGCTCGGCCTACTAAGGCAATATGCATAGACACGTAAACTCCGATAGAGTGACACATGATAAATATGATCACCATTGTTGCAACCACGACTGACACTCTACCAGGATCCACAGAGGAAGTCAGTCCAGTTTTAGCCACACGTTTTCTGTGCATTATGAGATAACAGACCAAAAAACTGTTAAAAGTCACTAACATAATCAAGGGAATGACACTGACAAGCACGATACCCACGGCATAGTTATATGCAATGTATCCTTTACTTAGTCCAAATCGTGTGGTTAAATAGGGCGCTGGATGGGAAGGATTCGTGTTAGGAACATACTCGAAGATCCTAAAGAAGTTCAGAACGAGCGACACCATAGTAATTCCACCGATAGACACTCGTGCTCTCAGAATGGTACAGATCATTTTTGTCTTAGTGAGGAAATACAACGACACGCATCGTTCTATGGCCATCGCTGTGATAATCCAACAAGCACACGTAAGGAAGTAATTAGCTATCACATACCTGGAATATGTTAAATTATTTTTTAAAATCGAGCAAAAGCCTTTATGGAAAATTGTAACCCTGTAACGGGGACCAGCATATAGTTGGTGCAAAGAATTTACCAGATGAAAACTCCATTGTCAATATATAGAGCAAAATACATCTACAATTGTATGGCCAGATATATTTACCTCAATATTAGTGATAGAGGTGGACAGCCGATACCAGACTTTCAGATTCACTGTCCTTGGCATCGTATTTCTTCTTATTTTGAGGTGGATTCGAATCTACAGCACCTAATATTAGGAGACATTCTAATTTCCTATCGAGCTATCTCCCTACTCTGTTTCCAATTTTCTTTGTATTACGTAACGGTGTGCGACCTCAACAAGAAAAATAAAAATAGTTTTTATTGTATATTATACTCACCAAACAATTTTATAATATCGATAAAAGACAATAAAACTGCCCATTTTCATCAGAGAATCGTTAAACTTGAAAAAATCGGGAAATTGAATCAGTAAGATACATAGATCACATACACAGAGAGCCTTGAGAAAACAACTTGGTACTGACGTCATTTCCTTTCTCGTTAAGACCATTAAACTAAGGATGTTCCCCACGATGCCGGTACTACAAATTATTGGCGTCAGAACAGCACAGACAGCCTTAGTATCTGAAGACATATTTCTTGCCATGGTGATTTCCATATCCTCCAAAATATTGGAAGTATTTCCGGCCATTTTCGTTAATTCTGTAACAAAATATTGAAGAAATGTATATAAAAAATTCGAATTTCGATTGGAAGTCATCCCAATCTAATCATTATATCAGTCAATGTCCTTTAGTTAATACGTCAATCTATTAGCCAAAAGACGGCACAGACCATTTCCAATCGAAACAAAATTAGCACCATTTGATATTTTATGGACTAGTTTGTTGGTGCTCAAATGTTTAGTAATCCATGGACATACATAGTATGACAGGTCGTTGTATACAAAATGTTGAGGGTCAGCAAACGTCCATTTTTTTAATGACTATCCATGGTCGTTGAAAATAAGTCAAAGATACGAACGTAAAGTGTCTGAGAATGGCAAACCTAAACATTTCCAAGCTTTCCGAAATACAGAGTCAGAACTCCTTAAAACCCATAATATACCAACCCTTTAACTTACTTTTGCTCAGATTTAAAGAGTTGTCAAAGTGAATCCTTTATCTTTTAACAGCATCAACATAGTAAGATCAACACTCTCTATAATACAGCGTTACGGAACTAATGTTATAGTTTACATTAAATAGGAAGTACTCCGTCATTTTCATTTGGCCTATTGTTTTTAAAAGTGACCCATTTAAAAAAATATGGACTTTCCACTTCAAATTAACACTGTTTTGTTGTGATCTGACTTTTATAACAGTACAGGCTGTGTCGGTATTATTATATGACAAAATACTGAAGCATCCCTTTCATGTCAAAATCAGAACTTTAAGAAAATGTACGATATCTCCGATATCTCACCCGACGTCCATGATTGCTCTATTTCAGGATAATGTAAGTATCGTGAGAAACCATTCAACTGCAATATAGCAAAATAGTATTGAAATTAAATGGATAAAGAAGTTTTCTAAAATTGTATGTGTATCGGAGATACTCGATTTGCACTCTTTTAAATTTCCTTTTAATCAATCGTATGTGGTTCTTGCAATTCCACTAAAACTAAGTGTTTTACGACGTCACTAATCGCAAAATATGCTTTATCATAATATAAGGCCCTTCCCGATAAGTGACGTCATCAAATACTTAGTGGAATTGCAAAAAAACCACAGACGTCTTATTGAAAATTGGAAAGCTGCAAATTAATACTATCAATGTCCTCGATACACATACAAATGTAAGAAAACCCCTTTGAAATCCCTTTAATCAGGCCGTTCAGGAACCGCAGATATCGGACCGGGTTTGGATATTACCGTTTGAAGCTGTCCCATGTATTATAAATATATCAAAACTTTTTGAAAACCCAGAAACTGACTAATTTAATTATTCATTCTCAATTCTAAACACTAAATTTAGCAAATCAATTACTCACTCTTTCAGGTACTAAATTAGGCATTGGGTGATCTTGCTGCTTGTTTCCATTTCCAAAATCCATGAGCTCCAGAATCACCAAATATGATATAATCTTATGAGTCACTGTTTACAAGTTGTTCTATATTTATTTCTATATTTTGGACAAGGGCATCCCCCTCCTGAGCATGTCTCTCTAAACCCATTTTTTAAGAACAAAAAAATTCTGAACTAAATTTAGCCCACCATCAGAATATGCCATCGATTCGATTGGTTTAACAAAACTAAAGAATTAGAAAATAGTGAGGAAAAGACTCCTTGTTTCTTTTTCGATTAAAATATCTCATTTCTTGGAACTAAATGAAATTTCAGGGGATTAAATACTATATTATGCATAGATTTAATGGAGGTAATAAAATCTAACCGTTTATAAGCACACAATTGATTTTTTAGTCCTATTGGTAGGCAATCAAAGGGTTAAACCTAATCTTTACAATAACAGTTTTTTATGTTCATTGTTAAAGGGTAAAAGGAATACTTTTATACTTTTATGTCATGGTGTGTCACTGGTGTGTCATTCAGTACTATTTTGTGCGTTTGGGCGACTTGCAAGACTTTGGCTGGTGAAGGGTTGAAGAAACACAGATGGAAGTTCTGGCATATTAAAAGTGGTTCAAGGTTTACTTCCTTTTTTTGGTAGATTATAACAAATAAACTACATCAGCTCAAAGGGGTGTGGTGTTTACAAACCCAGGAACACATAGATGCGTTTTATCTCGCTAACTACACCCACCAGAATACATCATATTGTTTCTATAATACTTGTAAAATAGAGCTAATGACTTAAAAAACAGATTCAATATGTTATATTTTAACCTTGTTCTCGGTTTTGTGCAATCCTTTGAAAACAATCGTCAGGAATCAAGAGTTTCATGCTTGTTTTTGTCATTGTAGCCTACTGCATTTCGAACATACTTGACATTACTTAGACATCTTAACGTTTCCATTTTTGTAGGAACAGACCAATTTCTCTCCGAAATACACCTCTCTTAGTTTGTGTGTGCTCCAACTTTGCAAAGGGACACTGCTCATGATTTCTTAACTGACATGTAGCGAATGAAACGAAACCAATGAAAAGAAGAACAAGCAAAATATTTAATACTGGCAATTAATTATTTATTTGCGTGTTACATTAATGGTGACCAGTGGCGGCGACAGTCTCCCGAGACTTGCAAAACAAATATGGGACAGATTGACTGAAACCGGCAACCCTGTGGAGGCGTCACGGTCGCAATACTCCCAATCCAGCCACGTAGCTAGCTAAAGTGGGGGTACAATTAGGGGTTCAATCCCCCCCCCCCCTTCCCTTTGACCACTAATGCAGACAAGTTTTTTTTACAATAAAGAGGTTGCAAAGGAATAGCCAAAGGCCATAATTTAGCTGTGGTTTAGTGGCGGGTTCTGTGTAGTTAAGGCCAATGAACCAGGAAGATGCTTAAAATAAACGTGTAACTGTAAATATACAGATGTAACATCCTTTTGAGATATAAAAAGAAAATTACGGTCCTACAGAGGAATAGCCGAGGGCAATATTTGAAGATAATGGTGTTACAGAATTGAATAAATATATATTTTATGCATTTACTAAATAAACAATAGCAGCAATGCGAACTCTCCGAAAGGTATGCTGACACACTAAATCACAAAGTGGTATAGGAAGAGTGGACATAATTTCTATTTACCTATGTTACCTTATTTTGGAAAAATCCCAATAATATTACAAAGTGTCTAAATGGGTTCAAAATTTACTTTTGTGCACCATATTGATTAACCAAATGAATCCCTGAAACGTGGAGTAAATGAAATAGCAGAAACGATAATTCATTTACAAATGTTTGAATCAAACAGGATGAAGCAAGAAGGGCGCCATTTCGTCGTCCAAATTCAATTACACTTTTACTATTTTCAATGTCACTAACAAAGGTAGTTCCTCAGTAATGCGACTGGCAGAATCTGAGAGCAATTGAACTTTAAACGACTAAAAAGTCGGCTCACGGCGTCTAGGAAAATATGAAAAACCGCAGATGCAAGCAGTTGCTAATATTCTACATCCTAGCAGAATATCGCCAGCCTGATCGGTCGCAATCTATATTGAGATACCCCAAATCTTCTCTATATGCTGTTCCCTATTCAGCCCCTTCAATATTTTGTATAACACCATAAATATCTCAGTGAATATATGCCAGTATCAGTCGATACTTAAAACACTTAAACTACGACATATTACATACTGAACAACGAGGATAAATATGCATAAAGTAGAGTGATAAATACAATACATATAATGTTTGTCCAATAAACGAAAAGAAAGTTACCAACAAGGAAAATTATCGGTTACTGTCTCGGCGATTGAACTTATAGTTAGATAAATAGAAGAGCTCAAGATGGGTTGGGAAGATTAATCCATTGCCCTTCAAATATCGTAATAGTATTGTAGCCTATTGCTGAATAAAGTTCTCTGGATAAAGAAACTTCAAAAATATTATATTAGACAAATCCAATAGTTATGGGTGATTAAGTCTCAGTAAACAGGAAACTAATTTTTTTTTACACTAAACAGAAAGAGTGACATTTCTTTATAGTCAACTACTTCTTTGCTCTGCCCGTTGTTAGGGTGTCTTATATCCATGACGACATAATATCGATGATATCCACGCAGGATAGTTTTCATAATTTATACTGTCAACAAATTCACCAGTGCTTTTTTATATTTAAATATACACGATCATGAATTCGGTTTAATAATGATTACGATTAAATTTCTACTGCAAAAGTAAAAAATCCAGACGAATGTGTCCTTTTAACAGAGACATCCATTGCTGAAATGACTACGTTAAATTATAGCAAAATACTTGCGGCATTTTACACTAACCCTACATTGATTTGTGACAATAAAAAATGGATATGACTTGTGTCGCCCAAACTCTACCCGGATATAGCGGAAATAATTCTATCAAGGGACCTGACAATTCGCCAAGTTTCGTCATGACGAATATTTGGGATTTAAATTTGGACTATTTTCAGAATTTCTATAGATTGAAGAAGATATTTAAGCAGGAGAAAACATGGTAAGTTTAAAAGACCTTCGACTGGACATTAACAGTTTAAGAGAATATTTAAAGTTAATAAGGAATACTCTAAAAGTTTTAATATATCAGAATGGGTAAGGAATGAGAGATTCTAGTATTAAGAAAGTTCTGCCTTAATGACAAGAGCAATCATATGTACCGTCGATATATGTTTCGGATTTAAGAGTACCAGTAGAGTCCATTCAGGTTTATTAGAATACTCAATCGAAATTCTAAATATGATTATTAAGGAATACAAACTGAAAGACCCAATTTGATTGGAAGCCTTCATTTGTTGTGAAAGTGTCGGCGTTCAGTGCCCTATATTAGGACTGGGGCTCTAGTTGTTCCGTTCTCGAGAACAAGAGTTGTTGAGTGCTGTGATAGTCAACTGTTTTACAGATTTATTCCCCCTTATATATAATGGAGAGAAAACTGACTTATCAGAATCTAAAAGCAACATAATTAATGGCTGCTACCAGCACTGGTGGCATCTGATCAAACGCTGGATTATGCTCTAACTTAACATTAGCAGTTGTAGTAAGTTGCTCATGTTTGACCCTCTTGCATTTGGTTCTTTTTGGCAAAGTTGGGTCCGATGATATGCGAATCTTTAGTCGATCATACAGAAATTAAGTCATCTAGCTCTCTTTCCATTTCAGAAAATACAAAATGTCTCATTTTACTGGCCTCAATCGTCATGGTTACGACGACATCACTAGCTCATGATGTGATCACAGAAAATGCCTGTCATCCTTGTCGAACCGGAAGTGCTCATACCAACAACGTCCATCGACTCTTCCAAAGACAAACAACAGAGAGCATAGCGGAATTATTGGGTGCGTTCGTTTACCGGATCAATGATGTCAATGAAAAGGTCAATCATAGCATTTCTAACATAGTAAGTACCACATACCACTAAATATGTTGCATTTCAGTGTTTCTTGGTAATACAACGCTTTTTATACGTCTGCTATGAAAAGATAAACCATTCTGTTTTTGACGAATATTCATCTGAATTTATAAATTATATTATTCAAGGAGGATGTGTGCAATTTTGTTTGGGAACTGTTGGCCGGAATTTGTAACTTCCCCCTTCACTGTAAATCATTTTCGTTATTTTCACTTAGGTTTTCTTGCAATTTTCCATGTCGGAGATTGAAAAGAACGAATTGAATTATGATTGTCCAAAAGTGTTATGGTAGACTACAAAGCACCTCATAAATTTCAAAATTACCAAGTTAATTAGTGTTTTTTTTTTCGTTTACGATCATCGATGTTCTGAAAATCAGAATGATTTTAATGCTCTTCAAATCTTGATTGTATATTTTGAAGCAGGTCATAGCTACACCTAATGTCAGCTAAAATAAATACATGTTATCTTAACTTTCAGGTGTCATCAAATTATGGAGGCGATGTTGGATATTTATGTTCTTTGAGAATGGCTGGAGATGAAGATATTCCTACACCCACTCTCTCCTACCTTAGACAGGTAAGCTTATTATTAGTCCAAATCTCTGATACATATTACATTAGTCTGAATCTTACTGACACTTACTAAGCCTCTGGTGGATATTACATTAGTCTGAATCTTACTGACTCTTACTTAACCTCGGATTGATATTATACTAGTCTGAATCTTACTGACTCTTACTTAACCTCGGATTGATATTCTAGTCCGAGAATTACTGACCTTTTCCTAGCTCAAATAGATATTACACCGAAACGAGTTCTAGCTTCGTTAATCTATTATACTTGGTGTATTACAAGGTCTTTTACAAGTGTAAATTTTGATTTGGAGCACATGCAAATTTTTTTCCTTTTGAGTAGAAAACAAACAAACGAAATTAAAATCCTTTTTGTAGGGTTCTTATACGCTTAAGTTTTCACAAATTGTTCGTAGTCTTTTATATACAACTACATTGGAGTTAAGTCCCTTGTGGCAAATCGTTATTTATGCTTTATAACGTGTGAAACATGCAGTTCTTTTACACCTCTTCCTTATTGGTGATGACAGGACATTTCGATTGGACAATATCAAGTGTTTTCCTGTTAACTTTGATTATTTTAAATCAAATACTGAAAACTACTGAACCAATCAAAGTTCGTTATTTTATTTAAACCAATGAGATAACATTTCCTTCTTATATCATCACTTTCAGATAAAATAATTTCATGTACTTTATTTCTTTTCATTTATTCAGGGTAGTTATACATACAAATTGTTATTTATTACCTCAAAACATTCATATGTACCTGTGATATTTTGATTATATAGAGCTTTATAAAGCCGCTTTCATTATTCGCTGCATAATGACTATATGACGTAGTTTTTTTTTAAAACATTTTTGTCAATAGATATGTAGATGTGTGTCATGACGTTTTCACTTACATAGACAAGAGGTGTTGTATCATCATTGGTATTTTGTAGTTAGAAAGCAAAGTCAACGAAATATATTTTACAAATCATAGATTGTTTCTGGTATTGAATCAACAAGTTTAGCATGCATTGTACCAGACAAACCATGAAATCAAGAGAAATCATGAAACGTTTTTCTGTTCCAACTACATCTGTTTTGATTTTTCATAGTAAGATGTAGTTACAACTATTTTATCTTTGCAGATCAATCCCCTGACGCAATCCTACAACCAACTGGCAACGTTAGCCCTTTACTTCGAGGTTCTCAATTCTGACGTCATTAGATCGTGTGGACTCGATTTCAGTCACCTGAGAGGAACACTTCCGCTTTGTCACTGGAAGAAAATATTACGTCACTTTCGCCACCATCTCCCCATAGAATACTGTCAGAAATCATTTCCAGTTGATGGTGTCAATTCTTGTACTACTGCGGTGGATTTGGCTTACGTGATTCTCGAAAGCTGTCGCGGGATGTTAAGTGTACTAGAAAGTCGAGGTAACATTTACAAAGCTTTGATAAACCAGGAAGCTTCCGCCTTGTCGGCACTTCAATTAATAATCAACTCTCATATTATGTAGATATGTCCTTGACCTTTAGCCGAGATTAGCTGGGTTGAAGTAGAATTAGCTGAATTTTTATTTCAAGAATTGTGGGTTGGGGTTAAAGGAATAAAGAGAGGAGTTTGGAAGAACTGGGATGGGAGAGAGGGTTTGAAAGGGTTTCGCCCAATGCTTTTGTAAATGCATCTCAGTTATATATCTTCGGTTTTTTTTAAATTTTAGGGCCAAGTTTTGAATATTGAATACTCCTGTTAATCATGATCTCAGATTATACAAGAGAAAGTTTCTCTTCTAATGTAAACTCTATGAGTTAAATTAAGGATAGGTTCAGCAAATAGTTAGACACATCAAACATCGATGCTAAATTTCATAGGCGTAATATCTCGCTCTTGTTTATTGCCATGTCTGCAGGACTCTTTCATTCATTCAAAGTCAATACTGTGTCCCCCGAATTTTGGCCTCTTTTCGAAATGACATTGATTAAATTTCAACTGTAAACTTATGTTGGTGATAGTTTGTTGAAATAACAACTATATCGTCAAACGATATTACGGTTTATTCCTGAATCAATAGTGACAATAGTCACAGTTAACGTACTAGGTTTAAAAATATTAGATACAAACGCCAATGTCATCTGAATCATCACCTTATGTCTATCTTTCCATAGTAGTAAGTAAAATTTGCATCCGTTATGACAGGATGTAGCGCAAAATCACACCAAGCAGATATTTGTCATGATATTCAAACGTTATGTTGTTCTCAGTAAACTCTGTAGGAAACCAATTTACTGTTACTTTCAGATATATTTATCTATATATGAAATATTATGTTCTCTACTTGTGACATTAGCGAGTGTTTCTTCTATAGAAGAACGTCTAACAACTAATGTAGGCTAATAACTATTTAATATATATATTTTTGTAATAATCGGCGGATACGAAATAAAACGCGGTGAATATAAACGCGACAAGTATTTTTGTCTGGTCAATATTTGCTGAGCCCGTCCCCTAATTACCGTACTGTTAGTATTATATTGTAAGTTCTATGAACTATGTTATGTCTTTTATGTTGATTGTTTTTTTTTATAATAAATATTATTTTGATACAAATTTTGTTTCATTGTACATTGTTCTAAGCACAAGTATGTGATCCTAGATATCCTAGAGGTATGTGATCGCCAGAGCCTCTGTTCGAGACAAACAAAATCTATTATCCAGTTCGACATATAACGACACTGATCTACGCATTGTTAAAATGCGATCAGATTGACGCCATTGAATTCTAAAATGTGTTCATTTAGAATAGAACCCCATCTTAAATGCTACAGTAGTGAACAGTAATGGTATAAAAAAAACGAGGTCCAAAGAACAGGTTATATAAATAAGATGGGGGGTATACTTGGGACATAACGTACAGGGGATATAAAGAACGAATGATATATAGAACAGGGTGTATAAAGAACGGGGGGTATAATAAAAAGGGGATATAAGAACATGGGATATGACGAACAAGGGATATAACGAACGGAATAAAAATACCAGGGGGTATACAGAACGGTATAGAGACATGAGATGTACAGAACAGTACAAATTTATAGAACAGGAGATATAAAGAGCGGGGGATATAAAGAATGGGAGAAAAAGAACAGGGCATATAAAGAACAGTATAGGTTCCCATAAAGAACATGAGATATAGAGAATGGTGAAAATTAAAAAAAACAGGGGATAAGAGGAACAGGGGATATAGAGAACGGGAGATATAAAGAACAGTATAGGTTTAAAGAACGTGAGATATAGAGAACAGTAAACGTTTTAAGAATAGGGGGTATAAAGCATAGGGGATATAAAGAACGGGGAATATAAAGCACAGAAAATATATAGAATGGGGTATATTAAGAAAAGGGGATATAAAGAATAGGGGATATAGAGAATAGGGGGTATAAAGAATAGGGGATATAAAGAATGGGGAATATAAAGCACGGAAGATATATAGAACGGGGGATATAAAGAACAGGGTTTTTAAAGAACAGAAGATATATAGAACAGTAATGATATAAAGAACAAACAGTTATGGTATGAAGAACAGTAATTGTATAAAGAACAGAGGGTATAAAAAACAGTAATGGTATAAAGAACAGAGGGCATAAAAAACAGTAATGATATAAAGAACAGTAATGTTATAAAGGAAGCGGATATAAAGAACAATATGATATAAGGAACAGTAATGGTATAAAGAACAGGGGGTATAAAAAACAGTAAGGGGATAAAGAACAGGGGGTATAAAAACAGTAATGGGATAAAGAACAAGGGGTATAAAAAACAGTAATGGGATAAAGAACCGGGGGTATAAAGAACAGTAATGGTATAAAGAGCAGAGGGTATAAAAAACAGTAATGGTATAAAGAACAGGGGGTATAAAACAGTCAGTAATGGTATAAAGAACAGGGGGTATAAAAAAAAACAGTAATGGTATAAAGAACAGAGGGTATAAAAAACAGTAATGGAATAAAGAACAGGGGGTATAAAAAAAACAGCCATGGTATAAAGAACAGTAATGTTATAAAGGAAGCGGATATAAAGAACAATATGATATAAGGAACAGTAATGGTATAAAGAACAGAGGGTATAAAAAACAGTAATGGTATAAAGAACAGAGGGTATAAAAAACAGTAATGGAATAAAGAATAGGGGGTATAAAAAAACAGCCATGGTATAAAGAACAGTAATGTTATAAAGGAAGCGGATATAAAGAACAATATGATATAAGGAACAGTAATGGTATAAAGAACAGAGGGTATAAAAAACAGTAATGGTATAAAGAACAGAGGGTATAAAAAACAGTAATGGAATAAAGAACAGGGGGTATAAAAAAACAGCCATAGTATAAAGAACAGTAATGTTATAAAGGAAGCGGATATAAAGAACAATATGATATAAGGAACAGTAATGGTATAAAGAACAGAGGGTATAAAAACAGTAATGGTATAAAGAACAGAGGGTATAAAAAACAGTAATGGTATAAAGAACAGAGGGTATAAAAAACAGTAATGGTATAAAGAACAGAGGGTATAAAAAACAGTAATGGTATAAAGAACAGAGGGTATAAAACAGTCATGGAATAAAGAACAGGGGGTATAAAAAAACAGCCAATGATATAAAGAACAGTAATGTTATAAAGGAAGTGGATATAAAGAACAATATGATATAAGGAACAGTAATGGTATAAAGAACAGAGGGGTATAAAAACAGTCAGTAATGGTATAAAGAACAGAGGGTATAAAAAACAGCCATGGTATAAAGAACAGTAATGTTATAAAGGAAGCGGATATAAAGAACAATATGATATAAGGAACAGTAATGGTATAAGTTTTAATGGTATATAAAAAAAAAACAGGTGGTATAAATAACATTAATGGTATAAAGAACATGTAATATGCATAAAGGAGATCACAGGTAACTAAATACGAAGTTGCTGACCTATTGGTCTGTCTTGATCAGACAAAACAAATCACGATTTTACGCCAACCCACATTCACATCTCCTTTCTGAATTCACCCCATTACATTTTCAAATATCACTATAATTGATATATAGTCCGAGAATCTGTCATTTGTATATCTAGAATCTACAAATGTCTATCAACCTTTTGTTCGACGAGTACTCTAAATATTGTCATACATGTGAATAATATTGACTATTTCACCCAATTAGCTGGTGACATAAAAGGTTGTTCTTTAAGTGTGGGAGAGATATCCTCAGACGACATGAGACACGTTCTTCGCAAGACTGACTTCACAAGCTAAATTGAAGGTTCTAGCAGACTCCTTCTATACAATTGCCCTTGTTGTATCTCATGATGTTGACCTATATAGGAGTTGCAGGCGTCATGCAAGAAGCAGACGATGCTTACTCTTTGCGAAACATCTAATGGTACTTCTCTCTGGAGGAGTCCACTACTAAACAACTTTGACGATTTTGCCAAGCTTTGGACAAGATTTTGATTAACGAATTTTCTTGCTTGTATGGAATGCTATATTCTGTCTACCCCCGATAATACAGTTGACGAGATTCAGACTATAAAAGCACATGAAATTAAATGACGATCAGTGATGAGGTCAATAGTCGCCATATTTGTTAGTTTCACACCAGAGCGCCACCTAGTTAAATAAACTAACTGGTTGACAGACAGATTAACCACGTGACCTACTTTATTTAATTCGCGTGATTATCGTGATTGACTTCTATTGACCATTGGATTAATTCTCTCAAAACATTCAAATTATTGTACATAGAGCTATAGTTCTTTACCTCACAGTCAATTTAGTTCCACATACAACAAGTGACGTTACGCTCTCTCTCTATTGCCAATGATATAGTCTCAGGGGTGATCCTCGACTAACCCTTGTTCACCTAAATCCTATTCGTGTGCAATATGAGAGGATTTTGATTCACTGTCTACTAAGGTGGTCAAAACGTTTTAAAATATCTGCACTGACAGAGCAATGTTGTTTGTCAAGGGACCCGAAATTTTTTGTCCTCTTTTTTGCGGAACGGCGTTTATTTGGAACTACATTCTAGGGTGAATTACCCGCCTAATATAAATGGCAGAAATTTATTTTTACTACTGCCTGCAAACACACTTAGTGCGTTAAGGTGATATGTCTGTCCCATAAGTTATTATATCAACACTTTTCACCTATGATTTCACTGATATCAATACCATGTGGACTAATGAAGACGGGCAACGCCTTCAGGGTACAATGAGGGAAATATTGCCAGGACAGCGGTAATAGCCTGCTCATTTTCGATCTCCAACTGTCGAGGGATCTTTAACGTGCACAACCTGTAGCACGCGGGACCTCGGTCCAATCCGAACGCCTAGACGCTTTTTCCATGTCAGCCCTTCTTACCTGCATCACTGACAGGGGGAAACCGGGTTGAAAAATCCGAAGGTTTCATCTCGACCTATACCGGGATTGAACCCTAGACCTCAGGTTAGCGAGCAAGCGTCTAACTCACTTTTTTCCATAACAAAGGCACCACGGAAATCTGATTGAAAATTGGAATAATATCCCCGATACACATAAAATATTTCGAAAACCTCTTCACAATACCTTTAAATTAACTTTGCTATCGCACAAAGGCTTAAATATCATGAGCAATCTTAGCGATAGTGCTGCCATAAACACATTTTCTGACTGAAAATTTAAATGGTGCGAATCGTTGCTAACAGTGTCCCGAATACACATGAAAAGTTTATTCAAACTTTATTACAACAGGAACAACGGAAGTGTAATAAGTACAACCCATCTTCATTTCAAGTACATCTTCCTTCTTAAAACATGAGTAATTAAGTCTTTGCCTTGTTCTTCTCAGATGTTGATAGATAGGCAGGAATATAAGTTGATTTGGATAAATAATAATAAATAGTAAGTATCATCAGATACTCAATTCAGCAAAAAATATGTTATTTTCTCTGAGCATAATCATATTGAATATGGACTTCGGTTTTTCGTACTCACAATATTTGGGTTACAGATTTATTTCATCGTGGCACAATTTGCTTGCTTAGACGATACGATATTTTGTATGGTCCGTCCACAATCTGCTTGCTTGTACGATATGATATTTTGTATGTCCATCTTATGACTCCATTCATTTCATTTCATTTGTCCACAAATAGTAGGTCTATATTTCGTATGGTTCGCCTACAATCTGCTTGCTAGTAGCAGATGATATTTTGTATGGTTCGTCCACAATCTGCTTGCTAGTAGCAGATGATATTTTGTATGGTTCGTCCACAATCTGCTTGCTAGTAGCAGATGATATTTTGTATGGTTCGTCCACAATCTGCTTGCTAGTAGCAGATGATATTTTGTATGGTTCGCCCACAATCTGCTTGCTAGTAGCAGATGATATTTTATATGGTTCGCCCACAATCTGCTTGCTAGTAGCAGATGATATTTTGTATGGTTCGTCCACAATCTGCTTGCTTGTACGATATATTTCGTTTGTCCACAATCTGCTTGCTAGTACGATATGATATTTCGTTTGTCCACAATCTGCTTGCTAGTACTATATGATATTTCGTTTGTCCACAATCTGCTTGCTAGTACGATATGATATTTCGTTTGTCCACAATCTGCTTGCTAGTACGATATGATATTTCGTTTGTCCACAATCTGCTTGCTAGTACGATATGATATTTCGTTTGTCCACAATCTGCTTGCTTGTACGATATATTTCGTTTGTCCACAATCTGCTTGCTAGTACGATATGATATTTCGTTTGTCCACAATCTGCTTGCTAGTACGATATATTTCGTTTGTCCACAATCAGCTTGCTAGTACGATATGATATTTCGTTTGTCCACAATCTGCTTGCTAGTACGATATGATATTTCGAATGGTCCTTTCACAATCTGCATGCTTGTTTGACATATTTAGTATGGTCCATTTACCTTCTGCTTGCTAGTATTATAAGATATTTTTTATAGTCTTTTCACAATCTGCCTATGAATACGACACGATATTTCGTAGTCCATAGTACTCCTCTTGCTAGTTATACAATATATGTCGTAGTCTGTTTGCATCTGCATTTGCAGACACGATATTTCGCATGATCCGTCGACAATCTGCTTGCCAGTAGGACAATATATTTCGTATGAACCGTCCACAATCTGCTTCCTTACCGTACACGATATAATGGTATGGTCTGTCCACAACCTGCTTGTTGGTAGGAGACGATATATCGTATGGTCTGTCCACAATCTGCTTGCTTACCGTACACGATATATCGTATGGTCTGTCCACAACCTGCTTGTTGGTAGGACACGATATATCGTATGGTCTGTCCACAATCTGCTTGTTTACCGTACACGATATATGGTATGGTCTGTCCACAATCTGCTTGCTTACCGTACACGATATATGGTATGGTCTGTCCACAACCTGCTTGTTGGTTGGACATGATATATCGTATGGTCTGTCCACAATCTGCTTGCTTACCGTACACGATATATCGTATGGTCTGTCCACAACCTGCTTGTTGGTAGGACACGATATATCCTATGGTCTGTCCACAACCTGCTTGTTGGTAGGACACGATATATCCTATGGTCTGTCCACAACCTGCTTGCTGGTAGGACACGTTATATCGTATGGTCTGTCCACAACCTGCTTGCTGGTAGGACACGATATATCGTATGGTCTGTCCACAACCTGCTTGTTGGTAGGACACGATATATCGTATGGTCTGTCCACAACCTGCTTGCTGGTAGGACACGATATATCGTATGGTCTTGTCCACAACCTGCTTGCTGGTAGGACACGATATATCGTATGGTCTGTCCACAATCTTCTTGCTTGTAGGTCACGGTACTTTGTGTGAACCGTCCACAATCTACTTGCTAATAGGACATGATATTTGATAAGGTCCGTTCACAATTTTCTTCCTAGTATGACACAATATTTCGCATGGTCCGCCTATAATCTACTCACTAGTAAAACACGATATTTTATATTGCCCGTCCCAAGTAAGGATATGATATTTAAAAACGGTACCGGTATGGTATTTTTTTTTTAAATTTTACTTTTGATTCACTGATTATTACAGATTTAAAAATGTCAAGTAACTCCAGTCATTCCACCGAAACGGATGCACCGATCTCTATGGATACTTTCCGTCAGATCAAATATGTGTGTGATATAATGATGCCGATTGTTGCCAGTTTTGGAATAGTTGGAAATATTCTCAGTTTGGTGGTACTCACCAGGAAGGAAATGACGTCAGTTCCGGTTATGTTCCTGAAGGTCCTTAGTGCCTGTAACCTATGTGAACTGATTGTTGGAATCCCAGTTTATTTACAGCACAACCAATCGATGATGAGCATGAGAAATTTTGTAGTCTTCTCTCGATGTTATGTAATCATTCGGTTGGTGATTTTATAAATTTTTTCAAAGCAATTTTGGAAACTTAAAACTACTGGTCAATGCACAATATGGTAGCTTTTTATATATTTTACTGGTCATCTATCCCGTGATGTGATAGAATTTATAACTTACCAATAAGTCGAAGATTCTGCTTACGAAGTCTGACGATCCCCACAGCCATTTCACCTCTCATCTTTTAACTCATAGTTGAGCCCAAAGCCGTAATCAGTGCGGTTTTTGGCGAGGTAGAAGGCCAAATGCCACAGTGAAGTGACTGTGTAACAGTCTTAGTCAACTCGATATCCCCTTTAAGAGAGGCTACATAGCCCTTACTGTTTATTTGTTTTATATGATAAAAAAGGCAAATTTCGTTGTGTACTATGAACCACAATCCGTTGTTTGATCCCGACTTTTCCACTGTCACTCGACGTTTTTGCATTTAAATTCTTTTTCATTACAGGTATGGTTTAACGAATATTTTCTCCGTTTGCTCTAACTGGATTATAACAGCTGTGACCATTGAACGATTCTTCTCCCTTTACTTCATCTCTGGTGGGTCCAAATGGATTTGTACACCTCGACGGGCTAAAATCACAATATGTGCAATTCTAATTGCATCATTCGCTTTGAATATCCTTAAATTTTTTGAGTTTACAGCTAATCCTGACCCTCAGACTAAACCATCTCATCGCATGTCTGCTTTGGGTCGGAATAAACATTTTCAGTTATTCAGTTATGGAAGCCATGTGGTACTGGACACCCTTCTACCAATCCTGATTTTGATTGTTTTTAATTCCTTGCTACTATGTCTACTTCTCAAACATCGGAGGCGTGTTTCTGAAAGCGGGTTAAGGTCATGTGTAGATATGATACACGTGACAACGCTCGTGATGGCGATAGTAACATTATTTGTTCTGTTCCATGGCCTATCCGTCTACGTCGTGGTACAAATTATCATTTTAGGTCAAGAACACGTGCAACAGAGCGCTCTCTTCTTCGCATTATCTTTAGTAAGCAATCTACTCATTGCCACTAACACCAGTTTTAATTTCATACTTTACTGCGTCATACTCCAAAAATTTCGCAAAACATTCAAGAGAATTTTCACTTGCCAAACAGTTGAAAACTCTAAATCTGCACATACTACTTCAAGCTCTAAGGAAAGGAAAGAATCCGTTACTCCTTGTACTTCATATGTTTAAAATCATGGTGATTTTAACCGTAATACTTCATATGTTACCGTAGTATTTCATATGTTACCGTAGTATTTCATATGTTACCGCAATACTTCATATGTTACCGTTATACTTCATATGTTACCGCAATACTTCATATGTTACCGTAATACTTCATATGTTACCGTAATACTTCATATGTTACCGCAATACTTCATATGTTACCGTTATACTTCATATGTTACCGCAATACTTCATATGTTACCGTTATACTTCATATGTTACCGTTATACTTCATATGTTACCGTAGTATTTCAAATGTTACCGTAATACTTCATATGTTACCGCAATACTTCATATGTTATCGCAATACTTCATATGTTTTTGTTACCGTAATACTTCATATGTTACCGCAATACTGCATATGTTACCGCAATACTTCATATGTTACCTTAATAGTTCATATACTCCACGAATGTCCGTAGCTAGGACCGTCTCGGGACCTTTAACCTACTTAAAATACAGTCAAGCACATGCAGTGAGTACACTCAGTCGCGTGTTGTTTCAGAAGCGTAAAAATGATGTATTTTAGCCAATCAAACGGGCTTGGAATTGTAACACGTGACTGATTTTTGTGCATACGCAAAGTTATTTGGCTTTTTATTGTGGAATGCAAATACTGTGGGTGGAACGGATTAATTGAATTTGATTAAACCTTTGGCCACTTTCACGAGAATGCTAACTATTGTTGCCGATAGAAATACCAGTAGAATAAAATTATGATCCAAGGTATTGATTCTCATGAGGATCTGTAGAAGGTTAATCTAACCTCTGCGCAAAACTTTGGATATATTAGAGAAGTGTGGCATCAATATGAAACGAGAGTACGAAAAAGTGAATTTAACATGTTAATGCAAAATTTACTCTAGGTGTCTTGAATCCTCCGCCAAAGTCGGACCGCCTCCGCCATCCCGCCAGGTCATTTGAGACCTGATATTCGCGAATTGAAAAGCACGTTTTCTGATACAGACTGCAATAAAAAGATCGAATGTTTTTATTACGTATGACGAAACTAAACAATAAATAAATCTTGTTCTTTTTCAACATGCAAATGTTTAGCAATGCCACTGTGGCGGATTTGAACGTGAATCAATACACCGATTCATTGTCGAAATTTGGTGTATATCATTTGTTATATTCCTATGATAATAATAAGGCTCTTGACGTAAAACACAGATGTTTCATAATAATAGATTATAGGTGTCAAAATGAACAGAGTGACAGAGCTCAAATTTACACCCGTAAAATGTTTCTTTCCTTGATTGTTAAAGGGACAGATGTACTGTAGTCTCAGAAACGGGAATCATTTGGGCCTAGCTAATCAATATTGGTGATTTCCGGATAATTTCATGGAGGCCGCCATTTGCAATCACCATGCTTTTACACCAAATGTTACGAGATTCCTGATTGGATAAATTTAATAGTGACGTATGGTTTGCCAAGGGAGGTTATTAGTCTCTAATGACGAGAATATGGAAGTGTTCAAGCAACGGTTAGATGTGAATAATCGTACCGTGCCTGCTGCATTCCTAACCAAGAATTACATGTGTGCACGAGGTCTAACGTAGACAATGGAATTCATGTTTCATTATTTGATATAAGGAAATGCGTACTAGAATAGTAATATTGTATTCCAGGAAAAGTTATGTACGATGAATGGTAATTAAATGGGGATTTCCAAAATTCCAGGAGTTTTGTTCTTTGTCCACTGGTACCCCGAAATTTCCCTAAATTTTCTGTAAAGTTTCAAAATACCTCGAGAACTATTGTGACAAAAATTTAACTTTGTTTCTTGTGAACATCTCACATGTACCATCTGTACCATTATGTATATTATAATATCAACACTGATTCCTTTCACCGTTATAATAGAGCTCTATGCATTTATCAGAGAGTGATACAGAAATATTGAAAAGGAATCTTAAAATCCGTTCAGATATTAAGTATTGATCGGATCATAGAGCTCAATTTCAGCTCTGTGAATGTTAAAAACGAGCTAAAAGGGGCGGCATGTACACTTCCACGGCACGTTGTGTTGAAATGAAGATAACAGAGCGTTAAACTTGTAAAAAATTATACGGGTAGCAGAAATTGAGCTCCATCAGCTTATAGAGGAAATATTAAGACGAATTTTAGAATGTTACTAAGTTCATGGGTAGTAGTTGGTAGACCTGTCTTGTATATATCATTTTTTGTCTAACTAAATAAACCTTCATGTTGTGCTTAATTAATTTATGCTTTCCAGTTTCTCTCAAAACAAACTTTAACTACGGGCACACTGGGCGAATTTTCGGGGTGACTGGTTCGGGCTAGTCGATCGCCAGCGAACTTCGTCTAGTGTCTAGTGCCACGACATTCGCCCGAGCATTGGCCGGAGCCATTCGCCAACATCAAGCGTGTTTGATATTATTCGCCCGAATATTCATCGCCATCGACTTATGCGTCAAGTGTGTCCACTCTGACGACGTCTATCGCGAACTTACCTTTAACTCAACCAATCAAAGACACCCGAAGCATCACATGACAAATAAAATGGCCTCCACTGATGCAATGTGGAGTGCAGAAAAGGAAGAGGAATTAATTATAGGAGTCAAAGCCAAACATGTGACTAAGTGCCCTGCGCATGCGTAACCTAATGCGCGATGTGTGTTCACAGCGGCGAATAGTGAATAAAATGCGCCCAGTCTGTTTTTAGCTTTCACCCTTCCATTTCATACCACATGCTCGGTTGGAGAAACCATTGAAAAGTGTACTAAGTGTACTGCGTACGTGTAGGTTGCATTATACTAAATAAAAACCTTGTTTTGATTGACTATTTATATAAGAATGATGTTGACAGCTCACTTGGGTAAATATCTAGTACACTGACCCTGGTGTCCTATCATGCAGCCCCGCTTAAAGTTAAAAAGAGTCACATGACTGTTGTATATGAAGGCAGGGGAAAGCGTGCATCATAAGCATAAGCAGAGCTCTCTTTCGACAACGCATCAAGACGCATAGTGTAAAAGGCTCCCTTACCAGAAACTAATGCATAGAGCTCTATTATAACGGTGAAAGGAATCCGTGTTATAATATACATAATGGTACACATGGTACATGTGAGATTTTCACAAGAAGCATAGTGTAAAAGGCTCCCTTGCCAGAAACTCTGTGAGTAATAATAATATTTAGTTGCTCTGATGGATTCAGGCGTATACATTCGGTTAAAACCCGTCGTTTTCATATTAAAACATCTCCGCGCTCTGTTTTGATTTTAATGTATATAAACTGTACATAATAGACCATTTACATTATAACGGGGACGTACTTCTCGTTACTCATGTGCATCTTCCTGTTTGAAACATGACTAAAAAGGCTTAGTCTTGTATTGTATTCCCAGTGTTTGCAGAGAGACCTGAATATTAGTTGATAAAAACAAACACAAAATAAGTAAAGCTTAAGCAACTTCATTATAAGTGTTGAGAGATTTTTTAATTGTTTACGTTCTTCTTGTCTGCACTTGATTGAAGGCTAACAACACGTGCAATGTACACTATACATATTTCTACTCGTTTTAGTATCCATCTGTGGTTTTCAACGTACATAGCGGGTAGCACTAAGACTCCTATGTTTCCGAGAATGTAGGTAATTAGTTCAGGAACACCTAACATTCATTGATTCAGAATGAAGAAACGCTGGTCTCAAAGCATGATAAAAGGTTCAGAGCAACCAGGCTGCAGGCCACTGTGGACATAGCAGGATGGACGGACGTGATACAACGCAGGAAATCTGAATGCCGTAGTTACCATGGTGTCTGTTTCGCTGCTTTCAGTATTGGTACTGATCGGTCTGTGAAAGTAAAAGTGCTCATTGCGATATGGTACGTTCCGTTTTAGATACGGCGCGGGGAAAATGAACCCAAAGAGGAAGACGCTATTAGAAACTTGTCTAAAAACAGGATATTATATTTGAAGAATTCAATTCAAAAAAAGAATTTTATTTTCAAAATTAAGCTAGAAACATCAGCCTTTTCGAGATTATATCTATTTCTTAAAGGGACAAATTCGCTATTTCAGGGGTTGATTTGGGCCTTGAAAATGTGTAAATAGTCTTTTGAAGTACTGAAACTACACAGAAGTCGTATAATTTCTTCAAATATACCTCAAACAAGAATCAAACACTTAATTTTAGTGCAATTTCAGGAACCACAGACGTTTGTTTTGGAATGTTGCAAATTGATGTTACTGGTGTCCCTGATACGTAAAAAAATGTTTTTAGAAAACCTCTTTACAATCTCTTTAAACATTTACACAATTGTATCGACCGGTAGAAATAAATTTAGTTGTATTCATTTACCTTGTCTTTCAGATCTTGCAATGGCTGGGGATTGTTCCAATCTTTCCATGGAAACCAATGCAACCATCTCTACAATATCAGAAAATTGTTCCAATCATTCCCCGGAAATCGATTCGTCAATCTCGATGGATAGTTTCCTTCAGATCAAATATTTATGTGATGTAATGATGCCGATTGTATGCGGTTTTGGAATTGTGGGAAATATTCTCAGTTTGGTGGTACTCACTAGAAAGGAAATGACGTCAGTTCCGGTTATGTTTCTGAAAGCTCTCAGCGCATGCAACCTAGGTGAATTGTTAGCAGAGGCACCATATTTTCTAAAGCTTAATCAATCTTTGATGAACATTGGGAATTTTGTAATCTTCGCTCGTGTTTATCGAATTATTCGGTAAGTGATACAGTTTTAGACATTTGTCATATCAACGAGTCGAAATTAGAAATTTAGAAACATTATACTTTGGTCGTTATCTCTTCTCTCATCCTTATCAGTGATACTCGTCTTTAATTTTGGATATTGATTCGGACTGGTGTATTTGTTTAAATGCTGTATGACTTATTTATCATTACAGGTACGGCTTTGCAAATTTTTTCAACGTTTGTTCCAATTGGATTATTACAGCTGTAACCATTGAACGATTTCTCTCCCTTTACTTCACCTCCAGTGGTTCGAAATGGATTTGTACACCTCGACGGGCTAAGATCACAATATGTGCAATTCTAATTGCATCGTTTGTTTTGAATATTCTTAGATTTTTTGAGTTTACACATAACCCAGACCCGCTGAGTAACCAGACTCATAGCATAACTGCTTTAGGTCTGAATAAACATTTTAATAGATTCATGTATGGAAGCCATATCATACTTGTTACCCTCTCACCCATTCTGATTTTGATTGTTTTTAATTCCCTTCTGCTTTGTCTGCTTATCAAACATCGGAGACGCGTTTCTGAAAGTGGAATGAAGTCATGTGTAGATATGATGCACGTGACAACGCTCGTGATGGCAATAGTCACACTATTTGTTCTATTTCATGCCTTAGATGTGTACATTGAGGTACATATAATACATCTGGCTCAGGAACACATACAACAGAGTCTTCTCTACTACGCATTATCTTTAGTAAGCAATTTACTAGTTACAACCAACACCAGTTTTAATTTCATACTTTACTGCGTCATACTCCAAAAATTTCGCAATACTTTCAAGAAAATGTTCATTTGCAAACCAACTGAAAACTCCAAACCTGCGCAAAATTCAAGTTCGAAGGATACTAAAGAATCCGCATCTCGTAAAACTTCGTATGTTTGAAGTCGTGAATAGGGTGGACTTTTGTTATGGAAGATTTGCTATCCAAGTATCCCGACAAATCCTACCCTACCTGGTTCCTCAGACGTGATATACTGATGTGATATCGTCACGGGTATTTGCGTAGGGTCAGATTTCTCGGACTACTATGCACGTTGAATCATGAGCTTATTAGCAACCTTTCAACCTTTTTTTTTATTTCTATACCGCTTTCAGGATAGTTTGCATCCCCTCATAAAGCGTTACTACTGTGATTTTGTCTTCGATTTTCCTTGGATTGTGTTTCATGTCGGAGAATATAACCTGACTGAATAGCACAACTATAGTTATAATTATCCAAATATTTTTTGCAAGACTATAAAGCGCCCCATTAACCCCAAATATTTCAACATTAGCCCCTGTATGAAAATCCCTGCTTTAGAGTAAAGTCTCAGCGTTGACAGCCTAATTTATTTATGAAATATTTAATGTTTCGACTCCATATTAGCATGAACTAATGTATATCTCTTCCATTTCGATACTGTTCAGCGAGTGTGCTTATTTTGTTCCATAATACCAGATGGTAAATGATATATATTAGTGCTTGGTATCGTCCATCATGTCACGATACGATACGACACATATCGCGATATGGGGTAATGGGATAGCAATTCTATATATAGTAATAGCTTTATAACTGTGATATTTGGTCATAAAGTTGATAGAAGTGGTTAGCGTCCACTGTCTTAAAAAAGTTTTTAACAATCTCACTGAAAAATATTGTTATATCATAAACCAACTTATAAAAATCTCCACTTTTTATAGAATGAAAAGTATCGTCAAGTATCGATACACGACGTCGCGATACGATACGCGTATCGTGATATGTCTTATCGCGATACATCGTGTCAGCACTTATATCTATAAAAACATCTACAAAATGATTTTACTTTATCAATTGTATTATAATCGAGTTATACGTTAAATCTACTTGTGCGACATACACAGCTTCAACATTGCCACACTTTTTGAAGTGCTACATTTCTATTGTAAGCTAATGCGTACCAGAGTATTTATGTTGGCTTTTCAGAAGAAAAAAAACTTGTGTATTATAATGTAAAAATACATATAATTTTTCTATATATTTATATATTTCTAACAATAAATATCTTCACAGCAAGGGAATTTTAATCTTATTTACATATGTTGACATATTGAAACAGGACCTGAAATTTGACAACAAACATCAGAACATATGAGAGGGAAACAAACATCAGAACATAGGAGAGGACAACAAACATCAGAACATATGAGATGGCAACAAACATCAGAACATAGGATAGGGCAACAAACATCATAGGAGAGGGCAACAAACATCAGAACATAGGATAGCGCAACAAACATCATAGGAGAGGGCAACAAACAATAGAACATCGGAGAGGGCAACAAACATCAGAACATAGGAGAGGACAACAAACATCAGAACATAGGATAGCGCAACAAACATCATAGGAGAGGGCAACAAACAATAGAACATCGGAGAGGGCAACAAACATCAGAACATAGGAGAGGGCAACAAACATCAGAACATAGGAGAGGACAACAAGCAGTATACAATCAGGGAAATGATATTAGCCATGACATTGGGCATCGGTCCAACCTTCCCATTTTGTGATTACTGTTTTTGAAGGAACTTTTTCTTGCGAGTTTGTATCATGTTGGGCATCAAAGTATTTTGCCATCCGTACAGCTATTTTTTACTGTCACCTCATCGACTTCCGACAAGAAAAAAATCTGGCCGTTTGAAATCAAACTTGAACCTCTACGTTGCAAGGAAGCGACACTGATCATGGGCGACATCGATATATTATACGCACTCTACAAGGCATCGTGTCCAAACCACACCCCCGTTCGTTACACGTCATGCCTAGTTTAATACGTTTTAATTATAATATGTCAAAACCCATATTCGTGATACAATGACTAAAGGGCAGGTTACCCATTATCTTGAACGCCTATGCCAGTTGCCAACCATCTTCACAATGTCAAGATATTACGAACTGTGTCTAATACCGTAATTACCTTTCTTTTATCACGGAATGCATCATTGATGCTATCGTATCCCGAATAAGGGTTTTGATATTGACTTAATAAATAATCCGAGTAAGTATCAAATGAGGGTATGGTTTGGACACAATGCATTGGTGCTTGGCACCGCGAAGATGGTGGGCAGTATTTTGCATTCTCTACGATACCTGTTACATAAATTATTTGCCTTGATTACTCTATGTTGGTTTTCTAATCAATTGTATGACGTATTCGGAATTTGTGGGGTTCGGTTGTTTGATTTTTACTTCATGTCAATTTTGGTAAGTAATTTGTGAAATTATCTTCAGTACGGTACAGGCTAGTTTAAACAAAATCTTACAAGATAGAAGTTTGGGACATCAATATATCGAGTAGTATCTCGATATTTTATTGTCGTTATCTAGGATTTAGAATTAATCAAATCTTTATTCAACCAGGCTTTACTAAAACTATGTGATGTGCTTTGCCCACTGAAACCCCGAAATTCTTGTATAGGAGTCAAAATGCCTTGGCAACAGTGGAGACGCGAGTGAGGGGGGTGGCATTTGCCCCGTTTGTACCACCCCCCTTTATTTTAAGACAAATTTTGCCCCACCATATGCGTCAGAATGCACCTCATCAATTCAATTTTTCGAAAATTTTCTCAGGATAATCCTCTCCGACGCTGTATGAGATCATTGCGACTTTGACGCGTCCACAGAGTTGCCGCATTTTGAATTCAGCCTCGACAGTTGTCCCCCCATTGAGTCCGTCTACCCCCTATTGTACCGCCAGTCTCCGGAGTATGGCGCCGCCACTGCTTTGCAAGAAAAGAATGAGCGACTTTGTTTCTTGTTAAGGTTCTTATAAACAGGGCCCAAAAGCCAACCAAATATTTTTTAAGAAGCACTGTACCCAACTTTGCGTACGACAACGAAATGATGTCGGGGATAACTCTATAAAGATATTTCCAATGTAAATTAAAATGAGTTGATATTTGCTTCATATAAACATGAAAATTTATAAGGGAGATTTCTTGTAACTTTATTACATATTTTTGGTTTTACTGTGTAAATATATAACATTTTCTTATCGTCTTACTAACTTCAAAAGACAAAATAATTTTCTTCATTTTTCTCAAGAAATTTAAGTTTTAAAGCCAAATGCAAACAGTTTATAATATGAAAGATTAGTTTGAATATCTGAAACTTCTTTTGTTTTGCTCAATCGTTTCTTGCTCAAGCTGCCTGTGTCCATAAGGAATGTTAAGTGGAATAAAAAGTCCAATATATTTGGGAAACATAAAGAGCAACACTGCTGCTATATTAACTATACTATCTATCATTTCGTGAGTTTGATTAGTCTGTACCGACTTGAATGAGTATAAAAGTCACTGTACCAACAGAATAACTGGTGACTTTATAACATATCCAACCCAACTCAGCCCACTCTTTAATCTTTTTCAATTACACCGACTTGTAATGAAGTTTTTGGTTGACAAACGTCTAAATTGTGTCTAAATTACCTGTAGTATACAGACTAACCCGACCTGACTATTGTTTTCGGTGTTCAGAAGTTCCAGTAAAATGTAACAAGGGAGAAATCTGGAGCTTATTTGAAAATTATCTTGCAGACGCGAAAGAAAACTTAAAATTATTCATACACGGATATATTAAAGAAAAAGCAGGAAAGGCTACGAGGTTATATAAATTCAAACATCCACGTGTGAAAGAAAAAGTTGCTTTAGTAACAAATTGGTACATATGTACTTAAATTTCATTCGAATTAAGTTAATACCGTGAAGTGAAAATAACAGTGCTAACAAAATATTTCGTCAGAATCCGTTGCTAGAACCAAAAGGAAGGAGAAGTACCATAATAATGGAATTAGCAAAGTTGGGATTAATCACCTTAGGCTTGTTGGTAGCTCAATGTGGATTAATTGTTGGACAAAATGGAACAATTGCTAAGAGAGCTCTACCCTTAATGAGCCTATATTCTGGTTATTATCATCGACATAGCAAGGCTAAGACAGTGGTTAGTCGAGTTGTAACTGAGCTGCAGCAAGAATATCTCATGTATTTCAATTTAGGTACGTATTTTTTGTCAGTTGTCATTTTGGGGTGGACATGTTTCTAAGTAGGAACCTACTCTCGTTTGAACCAATCGGTATCACGCTTTCAAGCTAGTAAAGTAGACTACTTTCAAATATCAAACTTGCAATATATCTATTTCTAACAGGACCTATGTCTACACATAGCATATACATATTGATGAATTCTTATATTGGAGGATGTTCTCCTCTCTTAGTCTCAGCGATAAATCCACTTAGCTAAAGATAATATGTAGAATACATTTAAGTCACGGTGTTCAGTATTCATTGGAGAGGTTGTAAAAGATACAAAGTTAAGAGTGCTCTCAAGGTTTGGTGGCGTTGCCCAACGTCATTAGTCTTATCAGGTTCAGAAAAGTTGGACATAAAACAACTTTTGGACATTTATTTCTGATTTCTATTTTTGAAAAAGAATCTTACAGGTAAAGTAATTGAACTTGTTGAAACAGTTGTTAAGTCCTTTAAACAATTACAGATCGAAGTCGGATATGAATGACATAAACTTCGGATCAGATCATTAAATTTCACCAAACCAACTAAAACGAATATTATTTTCGTATTTCCAATTATTAACGGAAGTAACATAATACATTAATCAAGAGCAAACAGTCAAATCATCATCATCTATGGTAACGCAATATATTGCAGTATTGAATGGCAGCCATAGTTTACCGGAACTATGACAATAATGTCACGTGATTAAGTGATATGTTTATGGATTCTGATCGTTCTGGACTACAGGCGTTTGTAAACCCATGCAATAAAAACTAAAAAATCGTTAGATATGGATCCAAAATATTCATTGAATAAGCTTCGGCCTGCCCTAAAAGTTGAAACGCGAGGGACTATATTCATGTCGCAATATTATTATCGTTCCGCAAATTATTGTCCAAAATAAAGAGTCTCGTCCAAAAACATACGCCGAAAACTACCATTCATAATCGAGGCAGCTTCAGCTTTACGGAAACTGTCGACGATTGCCGAATGCATCTATGGTTTGATGTGCAGCAAAAATAAATGATTCGCGTGACTAGCGATATCGATATGTAACGAAATATCGTTTCGGTCGTTGTTGGAATAACATAATTTGGGGGAAAATATTAATGTTTTAAGAATAGTTGAAGGGTGGTTACTCTCTAGATAATTTCCTGCATAGAATTTCAAAGGATTAGAAAATGTAATTTGTCAATGAAAATATTTGACTGTCGTCAAAGAATGTGTGTTTTTTTGATACTTAATTCCTGTTTGACGAAAATGAAAAAGACGAAACGAAAAAAAAAAGATGTTGACGAAAGCAAAATTGAACATTCAGATAAAAGACAAAGGAAGGTGTAACAATTACTTGGTATCTATTTAGCCAACTTTGACAAATACTTCAGACGCTAAAAAACACAGGGTTTACTCCGTTAAACTCTTGAGACTATTAAAAACAGTGGGTAGAACCGAATTAATTAGGAGTCAAGTTGTTACATGCACCGTTTTAGTAAAATTCTGTCATGTTTAACACAACAAACAAATACAGTAAGAGCTTCTTGACCTTTGAAGCACAGTTTTTATTTTGGAATGTGTAATTCAAATTTACAAACAAATACAAAAAGGGCATGATTGGCCTTTGAACCCCTCTTTACATAATTTTATATTTGAATGTGCATTGCAGATTGAATTAGCAACGTAAAATATTGGATTTAAGGCATTTTACACAATCAATGGACCATTACTCTTCCAAGCTTGTAGACGTAGGCCCGTAGCCAGACTTGATTGTCCGGAGGGGCAAGTAATATATCTAGAGGGGCTATGCTATTTGATGTTTAGTTCCAATAATAATCAAATTGGTCGGTTGTCAGGTCATTTTTTCAGGTGGGCAATCCATTTTCGGGGGTCTCTTGTCCACTGTAGCTACTGGCCTGTGTAGAGGTCGATTTCAACTGTTATTAACTTTTTTTCAGAATGATATTCCGACACCTGGTTTATGTGTGATTGAAATGACGACAGTATATAATGCAATAAATCACACCCATGTTCTGTATTTTCACTGTACTGTTTTTACTGTATTTTCTCTGTACTGTATTTTCTCTGTACTGTATTTTCTCTGTACTGTATTGTCCCTATACTGTATTTTCTGTACTGTACTTTCTCTGTACTGTATTGTCCATGTACTGTTTTTACCCTATACTGTATTTTCCCCATTACTGTATTTTCCCCTATACTGTATTTTCCCCATTACTGTATTTTCCTATACTAAATATTTTCCATTTTCCTCATACTATATTTTCCCCATACTGTATTTTCCCTATACTGTATTTTCCCCATACTGTATTTTCCCCATACTGTATTTTTCCTATACTGTATTTTCCCCATACTGTATTTTCCCATACTGTATTTTCCCCATACTGTATTTTCACATACTGTATTTTCCTTATACTGTAATTTCAAATACTGTATTTTCCCTATACTGTATTTTCCTTATACTGTATTTCCCTATACTGTATTTCCCTATACTGTATTTTCCCTATACTGTATTTTACCATACTGTATTTTCACATACTGTATTTTCACATAGTGTATTTCCCTATACTATATTTCCCCATACTGTATTTCCCTATACTGTATATTCCTTATACTGTATATTCCCCATACTGTATTTTCCCCATACTGTCTTTGACTTATACTGTATTTTCCTATACTAAATATTCTCCATTTTCCCTATACTGTATAATCCCCATGCTGTATTTGCCTTATACTGTATTTTCCTTATGCTGTATTTTCCCCATACTGTATTTTTCCCCATACTGTATTTTCCCCATACTGTATTTTCCCCATACTGTATTTTCCCTATACAGTATTTTCCTTATACTGTATTTTCCCTATACTGTATTTTCCCTATACTGTATTTTCCCTATACTGTATTTTCCCCATACTGTATTTGCCTTATACTGTATTTTCCTTATACTGTATTTTCCCCATACTGTATTTTCCCTATACTGTATTTCCCCTATTGACTACTATATTTTCCCCTATATCGTATTTTCCCCATACTGTATTTCCCTATGCTGTAATTTCAGGCATTGACACCAAGAGAAAAGATACTACTCTGGGAATGCATAATATGTTTATAGCTACCAAGGAGAAATCTAAAAAGCTGGGCGAGGAAGAACGATATCGTACTGCAGTTAATAAAGAACTGACTCGATCGTAGGTATTTATAATTTCACTGATTTCATGCCGATGACGTCAGACTGTTTTCGAAAACACCTCAATTACATATTGGTCAAATATCACCTTAAGTTCTTGACAGAAACACCACTTTTCAACTAAAATCATACTAATGCCTAACTAATTTTCATATAATTAATAGACTTATCTATTGCTCTGTGACCTATGCCGGTGCTTTCATTGAGACCCGTCTCAATACACATTAACACCACTACATTGGTAATAAAGAACACCACTAGCGCATCCGATATTAAGAGATAACGGCAAGCCACTATTACACTGATTGTCAAGATCAATCCACCATTGAGTTGCTTGTTACAGAAATCTAAGAAAGGTCGTTCAATTAAAAAAAAAGCACTGTGAAAACCACCAGAGGTTACCGATGTAATTATCAGCGCAATAGTTCGCAGACATGCCAATATCACTTCCGTTGTCACAATCACAGTTGTTGAAACCACACTACTATGAACATGGACTGATACAAATATAGTCTTAGATGCGAATTTTCGAAATAACATGTTTTATAACATTACAGATTAAACATACCAATAAGACAAATAAAACAGAGTATCAACGTTGATAATTTGATTAGAGAGGCTGGGGTGCAGATAAAGAGCGTCCAAACTAGACGATTAGGATGTAATACGGCTACAGGGGTCCGGTGTGATACTAACTTAATGTACCGTACTGCAGATGGTACTTGTAATAATCTACGTAATTCAAAATGGGGAAGCGCCTTTATACCCATGAGACGATTTCAACCACCAGAATACGCCGATGGTAAGTGCAATCATAGTCACTTTCAGGGATTTGAAGAAAAGTTAATTTAAATGTTCTTGCCTGCTTAGCGTAGCTTATTAATTTATGACCTTAAGACAATTTCATCTATGAAAATTTTGACTGCACCAGGTAGGTCAACTAATCAATATAATATACTCTTATTGGCCATGTTAGGGAAAGTTAATTTTACGTTCAATCTAAAAGGTAGAATTACTTTCATAATGTCAACCAATGTTGATATTTGGCATGATATCACTACTGCACTATTTCTTTATTTATATACGCAGGTGTATCAGAGCCCCGCACAACCAGTGTAGATGGTTCTCAATTACCCAGTGCTCGGCTGGTTAGTCGAGAGGTACATGAGACGGATAGAGGTCAGCAAGAAATGTCATCATTAACTCACATGTTGATGCAGTGGGGTCAGTTTGTAGATCATGATATAACTAGTGCTCCACATCAAACAGGTTAGTTGTCTGCCTTGAAACACAACAAAGTGTTGGTGATTTTTTGAAAAGATTCTACTTGTTTTCATTGAAAGAGACAATTCCTGACCCATCTCCTCCTGTATGTGTATGTGAATCAAAGAGGTTTAATATAACTGTCTCATTGTGGTGAACCAAGATTTCGCTTTATGATGACTTCTCAATGTGTTACCATCCTGGCTACTAATACAAGACGGAGAAAGCAAGGATACCACCTCTCACTCTATGGTTGTCATTTTTGTCATCCTACACAAGATGAACTTTCTCCTTGACTGCAGTCATCACAAAATCCACTACCGTTACGACAGCTTCTCTCACGATTCTTTTCCCACTAACCTGATACCTTTCGATATAACCTCACATTTCGTTATAACCTCACAAGAGTTACCACTAATTTTAATTCTATGTCTCAAGTTTCACCTTGATCATTTACAAACCACAGAGTAAGGTTTCATCCACAGATTCCTCCAAGAGTGGCCATCCTTACCACGAACCCTCACAGAAACTCTTTCTTTGACTGCAATTCCTCACAAAATTCTTCGACTATTTTTTACCACAGTTTCTATCCGAATTTAATACTTTCTCTACAAACTTCCCAGAAAATCCCATACTGTGTCTCGTAAATTGCCTCATTGATCATTTACAAACAACAGAAAATGTGTTTTCCCCATACATGCCTCTCTAACATAAAACAGGAATTATCTCCCATGAATGCCACGTTAATCAGAATTTTAACGTTGAATATTTAGGTATCTCGACGATTTCTTGTGAGATATTTGATTTTTAAATTGTTTGTGTGTGTGTAGGTCATGATGGCGCCCAGATAACATGTTGTGAAGAAAATATCATGTCACCATCAGCTCGCTCTAATTTACAATCCAATCTCACCTCTAGGTCAGTAAATTCATTTTATATCTTAAATACTGACATTTCCGGACAAAAAAATGAAATGTAGCTATATGGCTAGCAAAAAGAGATTCGGGGCAAAACAATAGACAGTGAAAAAGTCGGTTATATTACAGAACAGTTTGAAGAAGTGTTGTCAATACTATATCAATAACTACATCCTCTTGGACGTTTGATCTTTACTCTTGACATTCTCTGTACCTTCAAATACCATACATGGCGTTACAATAAAATAAAACGAGGATTCACCCAAGATTTGTAAGATCCCCAAAGAAAGGGAATAAACGTCTATAAAATATACCATAAGCACGTGTCTGTTTCTCTCTTTAGGGAAGCCTGTTTTCCAATCGATGTGCCGCCAGGTGATCGCAAATTCCGGTTTACATCTTGTTTAAATTTCGTAAGAAGTTTACAGACCACCGATGCCAATTGCAGAACAGGTTTGTTATTATTTGTTAAGTTTTATTCCGTTTCTTTTGAAGAACCTAAACAATATTTTTTGACCTACCAATTAGTTCACCTGGTCATAGCAATTGGACACATGCGCAAGAAAGAAGAAAGAAACATTTGCTTATCTTTATTTTCGAATATCATTTCGAATACATATTTTGGTAATTAGACAATGTGAAAAGTGGATGCATGTCCTGCATTGTGCAAGGATGGACAATGTGCTAAGACAGCCGCATTAACTTAGTCTTATTAACATCAAAATAAGTCATTGTGTTCTCCTATGCTTTCAGAACCCGTTGAACAGTTAAATCAGATTACAGCCTATTTGGATGGTTCCATGGTCTATGGTTCGTCCCAGGAGGAACAAAACAATCTACGAGCATTTAGTGGAGGTAATATATGGCTCTATGGTAATACTGTCAACTGATGCTGATATCTTTAACCAGGTTGAACTGGTTGAATTGTTATACCCTATGTTTCGTGTTCCACCACTGCTGTTGAGGTTACAACGGCCTTACAATTTAAGCCTGACAGACATTGTCCACAGTTTTTCGCATCGTTGAGCAATTCTGTTAGTAGATAAACGTGTCTATGTTACCAATCTAAATTGCAAAGATTAGTTTTTTAAATCAATATTTTGAACAAATAATACTGACCGGTTCAACTTGCCTATTGTTATATTCTTTACGTCATATCATTTCTTATTCCTGGATTTTAGGACGATTGAAAGTATCTGATCACGATTTACTACCTGAAGATCGTGAAGAATCCTGCGTTAAGACTCGAGCAAGAGATTTCTGTTTCAAAGCAGGTAGGAATGACAAACTCTTATTCTGCCACATATTAAACGAGACCAATATTGTATTCACTATCAGATCTTGCATCGATTTACCTTTATCCATTTACTGTTAGTTGGTTTATTTCGTAGGTGATGGACGTGTGAATGAACAGATGGGTTTGGCCAGTCTTCATACGGTATGGATGCGAGAACACAACCGTATTGCTGATGAACTGGTTAAATTAAACCCCAGTTGGTCTGATGACAAAGTGTTTCAAGAAGCCAGGAAGATTGTAGGGGCTCTCATCCAGCATATTACATTTACAGAATGGTTACCTATTATACTGAACGAGGAATATATGGGCAATAACAATCTCTTTGTTAAACCACGAGGATTTTACGATCCATACAACCCCAACATGGACGCCAGTATCAGGAACGTTTTCGCTACTGCTGCGTTCAGATTTGGTCACTCGCTGGTCAATACATTTTTCTCTCAGCTCTCTCAAGGATTTCGGGACAATGGTCGTCATTTGATTAAAGAGGCTTTCGGACGAACAGCTCATATTCTAGCCAACAATGGTGAAGGTGTGAATACTTATATTAGAGGTTTGTAAATAATCTTAATTGTCTGAATTATACACTACTACTATTTACTAATTATATAAACATATTTATATTTCAATAATTAATTGTTGTCTTATTTTGACGCCATGGGTTTTTTCAAGGGCCAATTGATGTGGTAAAAATCATTTTCGTTATTGGTTTCGCTCGATAGTGTGCTAATAATACAAATTTTCTGTTAAAATCATGTTTATTTTGTGATTGTTCGAGAAATGGCTCTTTGAAATCGGAGATGTCATTTGAGCTGTTATGAAACGTATTTGTCCGTCTTATATCATATTTCAATATATTATCAAAACCACATTCTACCACGATGTTCAGCAGTCATCCAATCCATCATATTTCAATATATTATCAAAACCACATTCTACCACGGTGTTCAGCAGTCATCCAATCCACCATATTTCAATATATATTATCAAAACCACATTCTACCACGGTGTTCAGCAGTCATCCAATCCACCATATTCCAATATATATTATCAAAACCACATTCTACCACGGTGTTCAGCATTCATCCAATCCACCATATTTCAATTGCAGGTATGTTGATTGATCGACCACAGAAAGGAGATCGGTTCATAACCACCCAGCTGACAGACCATCTTTTTGAAGATACGTTTGGTAAGAGTCTGGATCTAGCGTCGTTGAATATCCAAAGAGGTCGAGACCATGGACTTCCTGGTTATAATGTATGGAGAAATTGGTGTGGTCTGTCAACTTCTAATAGCTTCCAAGGGATGCAAGGTTTACAACAAGGTGCTGCTCAGAAATTCTCTTCCTTGTACAGGTAATATCAGTTTGTCTTTTAATTTATGGTCGGAGTTCGATCACTTTTTGATATCTCCTAGCGGAAGTCGGACATTATTCCGTGGCATACATCGGATGAATCTAAGAACGGTCACATGCTAAATTATATATGAATAGCTGTACTAAACATAGATTTCTTAAAGTAACACAAGTCAACAAAATAAGATGATTTCTTTCTTTAATTAGGCGCAAGCAAATCCACAATTCTGCGAAAAGAATGTAAAAGTGCGATTTGGAATGCCTTCTTTAGCTTTAGAAGTAAGACGTGACCCTCTTATTTTATTTCAATTGTTTTGCTACTATTATCCTATGTATATTATGTATTAATTATCTTAAAGGTTTACTGACGATGTAGACGTATTTCCCGGAGGTCTATCAGAGATAAATATTCCTGGAGGTATGGTCGGGTCAACCTTCGCTTGTATTATAGCTAATCAATTCCGGGCCATCCGAGAGGGCGACAGATTCTGGTATGAGAGACCCGAGAAAACAGGCTTCACTGAAGGTAGGTTGAATATTATTCAATCACTGTATGCTTCACAGAAATTCGGGACCTGAGAATAAAGCAGAAATAAATAAAACAAACCGCATCAGCACATGCATAGACATCAAATCGGGATTGGAAAAAAAGCAACAACAAATAAAACAAACCGCATAAGCACATGCATGAGTGTTATGTGATTCATGCAGTCATTGATTTTAACTTATCATGCAACCGTTCCTCTACTATTTAGGGTCCATTTTACTTGGATTTATTTTTGCCAAGATAGTACGAGTTCGTTTGAGTTCTTCAGTTGATGATCAATTCACCTATATAGATCATTATTCATTAAAAACATATTTAAAAAGAGCTATCACGGCGCGGAATTTTTATCAAAATACACTACATGAGATACATTCTTGTCAATTTGTACTTTACAGCTCAGCTTAATTCTATCAAAAGAACTGGGTTATCGAGAGTTTTGTGTGCCAACACCAACATCCAAAAGATTCAACCAAATGCCTTCTGGCAACCTACACAAAGGTATACATATTGTGTATTAAAACTGATGTATGCATTTATATCAAAGCATAAATCCATGGGCTAAACTTAATTATGATTTACATAGATACCTCTTAGCTATTTCTAGTTCAAATAAACAGTGATCATATTTAACCTTAGTATACTTCTTAAAAACTCAAAATATTATCGTTTTCTTTTAGAAAGCCGCTTGAGCCATGTGAAAGTTACCCGGATGTAGATCTAACATTGTGGGTTGAAGGTAACGAGAACGGAAACGGTAGAAATTCTAATGGCGGAAATATCGTACCACAACCCCATTGGTCAATGTGGGGGAAATGGTCAGAATGTAGGAACGGAATTAGAAGGAAAATGCGAGTGTGTTTGAACGGGAACTCGTGTCAAGGTCGTGGCAGTTCCAGCAAGCAATGTATTGCAAATGGTAACCAAGGTCAAGGCACCCAAGGTCAAGATCAAGGTGGATGGTCGGCGTGGTCAGCATGGAGTGACTGCTACCAGAGTAAACAGTGGAGATGGAGACAATGTTATGGAGTGCCCACATTCTGTGTGGGGCCCAGTGCCTCATCTCGAGCTTGTGGCACCTCTAGACATATTCCAAAATATTGTCAGGTTCCATTCTTTAGGTCCTCTGGAATTTGCGACAGTTTCTTTTAATAATAGTAATAAACAGTTTAATTGGGTGCTTGTTGTATCATTTCCATATAAGGAGAGGGTGTTGAAGGTACTTTTTCAAGCAATATATAAATGCGTAGTAGTCGAGGAAAACGATTGAGACCAGTACCGACAGACTGCCATCAGTCCTTTTAAGGGTAGGCCTATATGGGCAATAACAACCTCTTTGTTAAACCACGAGGGTTTTACGATCGGTACAACCCCAACATGGACATCAGTATTTTGCTACCCCTGCTTTCAGATTTGTTCTGTCGCTGGACAATATAGTTTTCTCTCAGTAGTTAGGAACAGTGACCGTCACTTGATTAAAGAGGTCCTAACTGCATGCACCACCAGTCCTTCATGAAAGGATAAAATAAAAAACATTTCCACACAGAACAGAACGGGTACCATTCAAAGGGAAATCCTCAGGTTATAGTTCATTTCAGTGCAGAAGTAGCAGTTTAATTTAAACAGGCATTCGAATGAGATCGGGGCTCACCATGTTATCATTTTTATATTACCTCTGTTGGTATGAGATCAGAGTATATATGTGAAACCCAAAGATGCTTTCAAAACCTTTTAATTCTGCTGCCTGGACCAATTGGTACTCATGAAAATAGTGAGACCACAAGAAGATCGATAATGATATTTAACAAATTTGAAGGCTTTGTTTCTACGTCTACGAAGGTCACCCTGACTCTTTCAGGTATATTGGTGTTATTATGCAAGTCGGTTAGTCAAATTCTCACGGTGTATTTACATCTATTTACCGCAATCATGTACATTTTTCGTACACATACAGCGCCCTTAGAACAAAACAGAAAAGAACACACATTCATTAATACCCATTCTCATTGTTTCGATTGTTACATGCGACTTGAAGTAATGGCTTCTACCGTCCTATCATAACAACTCTACATAATCCGTACCGTTCTGTAGATAGTGTTTCTGAACAAGTCCCCCATGTTAGCAATCAATCAAGAAAGTTTGGAAAGGAAAGGAGTAGAAGATAATGATATTACACTTTATTTTATTTTCTCTCAATAACTGAGTAAATACTGGTTAATAGTGTCTTCAGTCTGTCAAAATGAGTTCGCTTCATGCACTATTACACGAACAAACCATGGATTTATTAGATAATGGATTATCGTGGAGCCCTCACATGAGCATGACGTTTGAATCAGTAGACGATCCATCAACTTCCGGCCAAGATACCAGCTGTGTAAAAGACGAAGATTCGAATATCAGGTAAGTGATAAGTTTCTCTTGGGTTGTCAGTATTCCTTCCTACAGCTCTACATAATACAACCACATTCGCATTACAACCTGAGACAAAGAACATCCGATCAACACTTAATTTATAATTCATCTGTACAAAAACTTCTATATATTTTTATAAGATAAGTGACATTCATAGAATCACATTTTTGACATGTTAATAGCAAAATACAGAAACACTGTTACAATGCCATTGATAACACAGAATCATGAATGAGATACGATACAGATCTCAGGAAATGCGTTGAGTTTAATGCTGGATTTAAGATACATCTTAGTAACCGGACCCATCCTAAAACACTGTCTTTTGTGGCAGTGCAATAGCTCAGTCGTTAGCGGATTGGGTTGCCGTTTGCTGGGTGATTAGGTGCCGTCAGTTCTAATCCTGCTCAAGGTAAGAAAAGTTCTGATTCCTGTGCCAGTTCTAAAATCCAAAGGGATAAAGGTATCTACATATTTGCTGTCCCAGCATCCACACAGCTCAATGTTAGCCAGCTGACGACAGGCTCGTATGCAAGTAAAAAATAAATATTTTGGAGGAAATGACGACAGGCTAAAAATTCCAGCTTTGACTTATATGATTTGTCTCCTGATTACTCTATGGATCCATTCTGTCCATAGAAAACTGTCATTGTGTTAAAACTGCCAGCTATAGGTTGGACACGACACGGATAATCATTCAAATGATACGGTTCTAGTAATTTGATACTTCCTTCCACCACCTATAATGTGTAATAATACAAATGAAAACGTGAATATTTCACATTATTGATTAAAACTGGTTATTTTCAGAATTTAATCAAGACAAAAACTGGAAAGAGTTTTTATGCGAACATCTTCAACAAATTGTTTCAAACCGAAACTTTAATTATCTGCCAAGCATTAGAAGAGTAAAATACAAAAAAGCATCGCCTGGAATTGTGATTTTTTTGTCCTTCGTATTTAGTTAATATCAAAAATCCGATATTAGGATTTTTCGAATACCAAAATAAAACAGAATACTATACACATAGACTTTGAGGTAAATAATGACAATAGAACTGAACTGAGGCAATGTCTTAGTGGGTTCGCTATTAGAGTCGATATGATCCAATATGCATAAAGTTTAAGGTTATTCCGCAGCAGATATCCACAGGCGGGTCCAGTGTGTATTGATAATATAATGTAATAAACTGAGATATCAACTCAGTTACAGATATGATCATTGAAAACCTCTGGAGGCTACCAATTAGAAGCCTTGAATAGACTAATATAACCATGTTGATATTGTAAACGGTTCAGCTATCTACATATAGACATCGAATTAAAATAATTTTCAGTTCAAAATATCTACTACCAACAGTTTAAAAGTTTGAACGTTTTCATATTTCGACTTTATTGTAAGTTTGATCAGGCTCAGAATCGGGTTATAGATTTGGTATTGCTTACTTCATTTGCAATTCAGTCGACGTAATTAATTTGAATTTCAACAGGTCTGTAAATGAAATGATGTTTTGTTACAAATGTTGCGGCTCATAGACTGACAAAAGAGAGAAGTTTACATTTACAAACATGTCAAGCGTGATGATTTTCTATCTTTGGGATTTCTATTTGTTTGTATGTATGCACTTTTAAGATCAATGCAGATGGCAATATTAAACGCTACATCTAACAGATCCTGCTCATGCAAACATAACTGAAAATAGAAACCCAGTTATATGATATATATGACAAATAATCAACTGAATGTAGTCATTATTAATCGTTCAATGTTCAGTTTTTGATTATCAGTGTCCGTTCGCCTTGGTATATTTCTCTCTAAAGAAAAAAAGAAAGTCTGAGCTTTCTCTACCACGACCTTAACAATCTTAAATCTTAGGTGTATAGAACAAACACTCTTACCACTTGGGAAGATGCTTTTATAGATAATGAAGTTACTGTCCTGAATGTCGAGGATGATAATCAACTTAATGTCCAGTTAGTGGTCAATGGTGACTTATTGATCAAATATCAAACTATGTTAATCTTCAATAACATGAATGGTGGTAGCAGAGAATGATCGCTCGAACATGACCCACATTGCCACTTCCTGCAAAGCACATCCTGTCGCACCTACAGCCTGCTTACATTAACGGTTTAAGTAAAGGGCCAAAATTGGCATATTTTTTGTCATCGTTATCTTCAATAACACGAATAGTGGTAGCAGAGATTGATTTTATCGACAACTTTGTTCCCACCTCGTCAATTTAAGTGAAGCTGTCGGTTGTCTGCGCCGGGGACATTGTAAGAATAACATAACTTATGCATTAAAAGAACCCGAAAGTGTGAATTTTTTTTCTCAAACAACGTTGATTTTGGGTAATTAATACACGACACTGTGTAATGGTATTGTAAAAGAAACTATACGAGGTTACCTCTATGAATGGTTTTAATTTAAGCAGTATTATATATGGATTAATTCCAGATGTAATCCATGGTCTCTACTCGTGGCTGATGCCAATGATTATTCAGTATCTTCAACAACACCTTATACCAATAAAACACTTGCTCCGAGCCGAGGCTCATGCTTTCTATGAGTTATATTCTTATTTCACCTTAACACCAATAATGAAACATATCTGGATGTTCATTAGTAATGGTTATTTCATTTCATTCACAACTCATGCAACTGTTATTGCAATTTTCAATCCAGTAATTTAAGGAAATCACTTGGATTACATTCTGACAGTTGTTGATATAGAGTAACTTTCTAAGATTGATCTTTGACCCCCAACCTTTCACCTCAAGAGAGTCAATTAACCTTGTAGATCGATAAGTCAAGGAATAAAGATAATGATTAGTTTGACATGAGTTATTGCCCTTGACTTGGTATAGATATCTATCAGATGTGACAGGTTCCAGGGTGTTTACGGTAAATTAGTTTATGGAATTGATTCGTTTCGGATAATAAATAGGTTGCGTACAGTTGATGAAATCAGGTTAAATAAGACAAGTAACAATATTTCTGATTGATCAGACAGGAAAGGTGATCTGTTTTCTCCTTTCTCTTTGGATAAGAGACGATCCACTGTCCGCCTTTATTTATTATAACGCCGATTTCTGCTTCGTGTTCTAGAATTTTTGTCAGTTGATTCTCAGTTTGACAGTCTTTGACTATCATCATGTACTGTTTTTAATCAATACTCAGGAAGTATTCCCCCAAACCAATAGACTGAACTCCGTCTAGAGAATATAGGATGCATTCCCATACGTTTCGGAAGTGGCCTTCATTACAAGAGCAGTTGAGTCCCCTGTGCATCCTGATAACAGTACTCCTGCTAGCACTTATCCAACTGCCTTCTACGAGCACCAAGAGTTTGTCGTCGCGGTTTAGCCGTTTATTAATGTCTTTTATAACATAGACATTTAGACAGAACCAATTTGTACATTTATGATCTATGATTCTCAATTCAGCTTTTTATCATTTTGTCCTATTACCGGTATCAGAATAGTTTATTGGATATTTGGAACTCTTCCATACCAGTTTCATAACCCATCATATCAAAGACAAGTCTTATCTTGAATGTTTGCTATGGAATTACTTTCTATATTAGCTATGAGGACAGTCTATAAAGCATGCCGAGTAGACAAACTTAGTCGCAATTGGGCAACAGGTGTCCATGAGGCTGCTCTACATCACAAGCAACACCCGCCGCAGTACTTATTATAGTGCAGCTCAAATTCAATTAAAATAGTATTATGTA